ATCTCTTTATCTCATCTATTTCGTACAAAATTATCTCATTATCTCATCTATTATACTGGACTTGAACATTGTCATCGCTTTGTGAAAAAAAGATTCTATAAACATGAAAGAAAAAAAATTAATGAAACAAAAATTGTACAGAGTTGATTAAAGAGTTACATGTAATCATGTAGAAATTAAACATGATCATTATTACTTTTGATAATTGGCGTATTTATCATTATCTGCAAGAATTTGTTCATGGATTAAGAAAAAGAGAATGATTATCATCAAAGGAAGATAAAAAGATCAATGAATGTGGATAATTACGCAAAAAAAAAATTAATATAATGATGTCATTGATTTGTGTGCAACATTTGTTGCCATTTAGATTTGGTATCGGCAAGGCTACAAATTATATGACTTGTAAGGCAGAATTTCTTTGCAAAAAAATAATGATACAGAAATGTTATGGCATTAAGATGTCACTTTTAGAGAAATTGCCAATTACTGGTTAATTATCCAAAACTGGTTGCACTTTACTAGACTAAATATCTTAAATGGACTTGTCTATCTTTCAATGTAGACAAAACCATTTATTAGTTTTAGGTAAAATGTGAAAATAAATGCTGTCTGAATAGCAAACAGTGCAGACAATGATCCGACTATACAGATTTACCGGTAGATCTTGGTCTGCACTGGTCACATGGGTAGGAACATGTGCTACTAACAGGCTAAGAGTTAATATAGAAATTTTTCCAGCTTCTCAGAAACAAAACCAGTAAGAACCAGTATGGAAAAACTTCTCTCCAAAACAACAAAATTGTTACATTTTATAATCGTACAATACTAGAAAGTCTTATAACTATCAATGGTATGAAAAAAAGACCGAACAATGAAAACTGAAAAATCTCATAAAAACAACGTAAAAACAACCTATCAATGTAAAGTATGTAACATCTTGCCTCCCGGAAACATCGGGAAATATCGGACTAAATTCCCGCCCCCACTTCTCCTCTAAGATATCTTGCTGTTCACTTCATTTACTAACTCAATTAAGACAACATTCCCCTATCAATATTCTCCATGTTCTAGAAACAAAATGATCGTATAACGGCAGTTTTATATACATGAAAACAATTATCTCTAATGATACTAGATAATGGAGGTCTATTAACTTAAATACCCGCAATATTTCTTCTTTTAATCTCGTAATTATCCATTGTTCAAACAAGCATAATCTTGTAAAAATTTGTTTCATGGTACGATATAATAATCATATTGTAGAATATTACCTCCCAAAGTTATTGTAACTACCTATATATGTTAAAATTGATTAATTTTACTGTGAACATAACTAATGTTATATATACAAAATATTTCCAGAATTTATGTAGCTGTAAAATTGTCAGCCAAATCTTGTATCTTCTTTTTATTTTGTGGGAAAAGTATGTAAATAGAAATTACCCAAGAATGCTTCAAGGCCCCTGTGACCTCAAAACTAATTTGGTGTCCCACTTTTGCTTTTTTTTCCCAGTGTCGCTTTGGTAGGACTTTTAAAATATTAAACAATCTATAGAAATATCATTAACAAAATTATTTCCAATAAGGTTTAGCCTTCTTGTTTTGTTTGGATTTACCACAACACCCACACAATTAAGGATAAAAGGTGGCTGCAATCCTTATGCCTCAACCCCTATAGGCAACCTCTCAGGCACAAGGGGGAGATAAGCACTCTAATTCATGCACCAGTCAGTTGTGATCTCTTGCGGCCCCTCTCATCCATATATTAGTATAGCGATAAGATTTACTTGATCAAGTAGTTATGGTTGTTGATTTCAAATCTGACTTTCCCCTCACTGCTGTGAGTATTTTGACTTAAAATCCAAAAAATTGTCTATCAGCTCCAAATTTTAAAGCAAGGAAAAGTAACAGACTGCAGTGATTTTTTTTACCTCTGCATCCTGAGTCCAGAACTCATTGAATTTGCCGTGGATGGAAAGTTTCAAATAATGTGCATCTTTTGGATGCATACTTTTTCTGAGTAAGGAGTCCTGTCTAACAGGAATTTTGGTAAAAAATACCAAATTGTGTTCAAGTTATATCAATCATATTCTAGGTCTGCAAATCTTTACAGATAAGAAATAATAATGTGCTATACTATAGATAAGCATAAAAATATTAAGGAAAATAAAGTTTTGATAAATCTCAAACTAAATTAAGGGAAATAACTTATTCAATTTATTTGACAGTTTTGAATAATTTCAGTATCAGAAGCATTGTAATTAATGTAGAAATCAAATTCATTTTTTCTTCATTCCATTGTTAATATACCTTTCATTTCACTAAAGCAATATTAAGCATTGTAACTTGGATTTGTCGGCTAAATTTTGGGACTCATAGATTTATAGCCCAGCGAGTCCTAGGACCCACACTGATGAGTTTGTAAAACAAGAGCGATCAGTAATCACATGTGTCGCCTCATGATGGCCAATTTCATGTTGGGACAAATTTTGTGACAGACGGACAGTGCACAACTAGACTTGGTACTGATCATTCCTGTAAAGTTTGGATAAAATTGCACCAGTAGTTTATGAGGAGTAGTCCGGACAAGCTTTTGCGTATCTGGCAACACACAGAAAAAAAACACCTTTTTATCAAAGGGCCATAACTCGGCCAAAAATCATTCAACCGGAAAACCCGTGCAATATGCGCAAGGACTTGAGCTACAGATCAATCCTGTAAAGTTTCATTGAAATTGCATTAGTGGTATAAGAGAAGTAGTCCGGACAAACATTAAAAATAAAAATTATTAAAGGGCCATAACTCAAATAAACAAGAGCTGTCGGAAGGACAGCACGCTCGACTATTCTAAGTTTGATAGTAAAAGAGCCTTGATATTGTTAAATTTTTCAAGTTCACAAAAGGGCTAATTTTTTTTTTATAAATTCATGTTATAGGCCTTAGAGAGAGTCTAATTATACAGTATTGGCTTGACTATTTGGAAGGTAATGTCACAAGGGTGTTTTATTGAGTATAATAATACTAATTACCTATGAATACATAAATTTGACAGAAAAGGTACAATAGCTTGTTATTAAGATGTTTTATCAAGTAAATCACTGCTTTATTATTATGAATGCATAAAATTGTCCCAAAAAAGGCACAAACCCTTCAGTAGTTATTGAGATAACAGCTTACAAGCAAAACTTTACCATGAATTTCTAAGTTGAAAAAGGGGAGAAAAATCAGCCTAAATGAAAGATAGAATTATGGATCTTTGTCAGTGACCTACAATTATGACCCTAAATGCATATGTGAAGTTTTAAATAAATATCTTTAATATTTATTGAGATATGTAAAACTTGCATGTAAACATTAACCAAGACACTAAGTAGAAAAGGGGATATGAATCAGCCTTAATGCAAGACAGAGTTATGGAACTTGGTCAGTGACATACAATTATGACCCTCCAATTATGACCCTAAGTGCATGTGTAAAGTTTCAAGTAAATATCTTTGAAGACCTTTAACCAAAATTTCTAAGTTTCAAAGGGGCAAATTATTCTGCAAATATTGCAGGCAGAGTTATGCAATTTTGCAAACTGATGTACATTGCTACTATAAAAAAGTATTTTAAATTTCAATTGAATATCGCAAGCAATAATTGAGATATTTGACTTTACAAAAAAACTTTGACCAAAATTTCTAAGTTCCAAAGGGGCATAATTCTGTCAATATTGTAGGCAGAGTTATCCAACTTGTCAATCTGATGTACCTTGTTACTATAAATAAGTATTGTAAGTTTCAATTGAATATCTCAAGCAATAATTGAGATATTTGACTTTACAAAAAACTTTAACCAAAATTTCTAAGTTAAAAAGGGGCATAATTCTGTCAATATTGTAAGCAGAGTTATCCAACTTGTTAATCTGATGTACATTGTTACTATAAATAAGTATTGTAAGTTTCAATTGAATATCTCAAGCAATAATTGAGATATTTGACTTTACAAAAAACTTTAACCAAAATTTCTAAGTTAAAAAGGGGCATAATTCTGTCAATATTGTAGGCAGAGTTATCCAACTTGTCATTCTGATGTACTTTGTTACTATAAATAAGTATTGTAAGTTTGAATTGAATATCTCAAGTAATAATTGAGATATTTGAATTTACAAAAAACTTTAACCAACGCAGACGCCGACGCGGACGCGGACGCCGACGCCGGGGCGACTACAATAGCTCTCATATTCTTCGAATAGTCAAGCTAAAAATCATTGAACCGGAAAATGCTGACAATATGCACAACTAGACTTGGTACTGATCATTCCTGTAAAGTTTGGATGAAATTGCACCAGTAGTTTATGAGGAGTAGTCTGGACAAGCTTTTGTGTATCTGGCAACACACAGAAAAAGAAACTTTTTTATCAAAGGGCCATAACTCGGCCAAAAATCATTCAACCGGAAAACCCATGCAATATGCGCAAGGACTTGAGCTACAGATCAATCCTGTAAAGTTTCATTGAAATTGCAATAGTGGTATAAGAGAAGTAGTCCGGACAAACATAAAAATTAAAAATTATTAAAGGGCCATAACTCTAACAAAAATCATTGAACCGGAAAATACTGACAATATGCACAACTAGACTTGGTACTGATCATTCCTGTAAAGTTTGGATGAAATTGCACCAGTAGTTTATGAGGAGTAGTCCAGACAAGTTTTGTGACGGACGGACAGACAGACGGAGAAGTGATCCCTATATGTCGCCACTACTCCGTAGAGGCGACACAAAAATCACTGACAGAGTATGAACAAGTCTACTTCGTGTTATCACAAGAATGGTACACGTTAAAATATATCAACCCCAAAGTAAGGTACAGTGATCAGCAGTAACATGTGCTTGTTACGGCAAGACATGGCTCACATTGAATTGTATAGGCTCTCAAGCCAGGCTACAGTGATTTGGTTTATTACTTTGACGGTGTGTTAAAGCGGAGTAGGGAAAATATAAACCGACTTACTATATCCTGTAGTCGCAACACCAGCATCATCTATGTCTATATTATAACTGTTTCGTTTGGAGAAAAAATCCTCTTCCATTGGGTTCCACTTCTCCAACCTTGTGTCTGGTGATTTTTCTGAAAAAAGCAACAAAGCTGTATGCATTTCCCTTTTGGAAAAAGACTGATTAATTTCACAAATATACTGATTTTTCAAGGGGCCACAACTCCGACGTGCGTGATGGAATCAGATATTTTTTCATGAAGAAAACCAATACCTTCTGATGACACAAGCTATGTATAGATCTGGTTAAAATCAGAAAAATTAATAGTGATGGAGATATCAAAGACTGCCACCAGTCCTAAAAGACCGCACAAGCTCAGGAGATAAAAAGCAAACATTAATTCCAAATACATGTATCAAAAGCTGCAATAAATAATAAGTAATAAATGACTTTAAGAAATCAACTACAGATCAATTATTAGTCATTTACTTCAGATATTTAAACAAGGGCCCCAATTCTTTACAGAAATAAACATAAATGTTCCGAATAACATTTACCCTACATAACTATGACGTTAAAAGAATTCTGAGAAAACAATTCATTATCAAGATAACGTTTCTGTACATGGAAGAATTATCATCGTGACTAGCTTTATAAATATCTATATATCACAAGACTTCCCTGTAATTAGCATTAACGAGTTTGAAATGTTTTTGTCAATCATTACATCAAGGTACATTAAACGCCGATCAATAATACATCTAGTTGTTCATACGTCTTACTATAATCCAGACTTTACTCTTGACATTTTAATAGGGTCTTTAAATCACACTGTTAATGTTAAGGCAATATGGTGACATTCCAACGAATCTGATTGAATATGACCCAAGAATTCCTTACTGACGTAAAAATCATTTTACTTACAAACCATTAAGTAACGATAATAGATTATATTATCAAAGAATAAAAGTATTATCGCATTATCATGTAATTGAAAATACTCTTAAAGATGTATCACGGTAGTAAAAGCATCTCTGAAACTTTTAACCATAACACAGCTCAATTTTCTTTATAATTGTTTTAACTTTAGAATGGTCCCATTTTGTGTAAAGGGGTTTAAATATCAATGTTTTAATGTAATGTTGTTTTTTTTAAAGCCAATTTAAAACATTTTTGGTCATATCTCACTCGTAGTCAGCTAACCAGCTTTCCTGAATAACTATTTACTAACCAGTATTACCTATTTCTCCGAAAGTAATTTCTCCACAAGTGACTGACCTACTTATCCCTCATGTTTTCTAAATAAGCGCCGAGGAATAAATGACCATAAGTCTCTCGGAGACCACAAACACCAGATAACCATCAAACCGGGACGGCCCCGAAAATGCGTGATTTGGATTTTGTGTTTGAGACCAACTGTCACAAAGAAATTTCATTCCCCAGAAGATCAACCCGGTGACCCCTGGTTTATGCATCTGCTGCTCTATTTCTTGAGTTTAAGTGGCCAGACAAAATGTAACATTGAGAAAATGGTTTCACACTGAAGTTTTTTCACGTTTCTGTTAAAATTAGTAAATGTTATATTGCTGTATTTATAAGAACTGGAAATATCAATTAAAATGCTTTTAATTGTTGCTTTAAAAGGCTTTGTAAACTTTATTATCAAGGGAGAAAACATGAAAACACTAGAACTATCACTAAATGTGATTAATACCCCCACAAGTCTGCTTCGGAAATGAGGATGTTACTAGTAACAGAATACCTTGTAATAGAATTGAAACATAGAGTTATGGTTGTGGGCAATTAAAGAAAATTGTGGTTCATGTATGTTGCATTTCCTTTCAATGTGGTTGGCCATTGATGAAGTTTAATTGAATTACTCTGTAATAAGTCCAGAAAGACAAAGAAAAAGAACAAAGGGCAATAACTCTATAAATACTGAAGATAGAGTTATAGTTCTTGTGCACTGCACTTCCTCTTATTGTGCTTGACCATTGTATGAAGTTGTTTTGAATTCCAACCAGTATGTTTTAAGTTATGCTCCGGACAAGGAAAAGTATCAAAGGGCAGTAACTCTGTATTTTGTCAAAATGGAGTTATGGCTCTTGTGCACTGCACTTCCTTTTAATGTCCTTGACAACTGTATGAAGTTGTACTGAATTCCAAACAGTAGTTTTCAAGTTATGCTCTGGACAAGGAAAAGTAACAAAGGGCAATAACTCTGTAATTAGTCAAGATGGAGTTATGGTTCTTGTGCACTGCACTTCCCCTTATTGTGCTTGACCATTGTATGAAGTTGTTTTGAATTCCAACCAGTAGTTTTCAAGTCATGCTCTGGACAAGGAAAAGTAACAAAGGGCAGTAACTCTGTAATTAGTCAAGATGGAGTTATGGTTCTTATGCACTGCACTTCCACTCAATGTGCTTGACCATTGTATGAAGTTATAATGAATTCCAACAATAAGTCTTCAAGTTATGGTCCGGACAAAAGAAAGCAATGGAAAAGTAACAAAGGGCAATAACTCTGTAATTAGTCAAGATGGAGTTATGGTTCTTGTGCACTGCACTTCCCCTTATTGTGCTTGGCCATTGTATGAAGTTGTTTTGAATTCCAACCAGTAGTTTTAAATTCATGCTCTGGACAAGGAAAAGAAACAAAGGGCAGTAACTCTGTAATTAGTCAAAATGGAGTTATGGTTCTTGTGCACTGCACTTCCTCTCAATGTGCTGGACCATTGTATGAAGTTATAATGAATTGCAACAATTAGTCTTCAAGTTAAGGTCCGGACAAAAGAAAGCAATGGAAAAGTAATAAAGGGCAATAACTCTGTAATTACTTTAGATAGAGTTATGGTTCTTATGCACTGCACATCCTCTCAGTGTGCTTGACCATTGTATGTAGTTATATTGAATTCCAACCATTTGTCTTCAAGTTATGGTACGGACAAAAAAAGAAGGCAATGGAAAAGCAACAAAGGGCAATAACTCTGTAATTACTTTAGATAGAGTTATGGTTCTTGTGCACTGCACTTCCCCTTATTGTGTTTGACAATTGTATGAAGTTGTTTTGAATTCCAACCAGTAGTTTTCAAGTTATGCCACGGACAAGGAAAAGTAACAAAGGGCAATAACTCTGTAATTAGTCAAGATAGAGTTATGTTTCTTACGCACTGCACTTCCTCTCAATGTGCTTGACCATTGTATGTAGTTATATTGAATTCCAACCATTAGTCTTCAAGTTATGCTCCGGACAAGGAAAATGCAACAGATAAAAAAAAAAGCAATGGAAAAGCAACAAAGGGCAATAACTCTGTAATTACTTTAGATAGAGTTATGGTTCTTGTGCACTGCACTTCCCCTTATTGTGTTTGACAATTGTATGAAGTTGTTTTGAATTCCAACCAGTAGTTTTCAAGTTATGCCCCGGACAAGGAAAAGTAACAAAGGGCAATAACTCTGTAATTAGTCAAGATAGAGTTATGGTTCTTGTGCACTGCACTTCCTCTCAATGTGCTTGACCATTGTATGTAGTTATATTGAATTCCAACCATTAGTTTTCAAGTTATGCTCCGGACAAGGAAAATGCAACGGACGTCTGGACCGACCGACCGACCAACCGAACGACCAACGGGTGACTCCTATATACCCCCCCAAACTTCGTTTTTGGGGGTATAATAACAGCCGCATATACAAGTAGTTCCTCACCCGTGTTTATTGGCAGTTTAATACCATTTTTTTTCTTCTTTGTCTATAGTGACAAAATCACAAGGAGTGTTAGAATAATGAATACGAACCAATTTAGTGTTTGTAATTACTTTCATAAACAGTCAATTTACTAGACTGATTAATAGGAAGTCGATTTACCAAAGTAAATGTGATACCATTCCTTTCTAAATACTGTTATCCTATTGGGCAAAAAATAATTTTATTTCTTAATATGACTAAAGTCCACTTCAATGAAGGAGGTGGGTGGACCACCAGAGCCCCTTCTCACACACACCTTACAGAGCCACTGGCTCTACAGAGAATGCTTGTTTTCCATCAGTATTTCAAATATTGATGGAAATAATAGAAATGTATAATTTAGATATTCTAATGAAAATATTATTTGAAATACATGCTCATAAAGTTCCAAGCGATTTATTATGATCATCTAAGTGATGAACAATAATATTTTGTTCTGGAACAATTTATTATCTGCTATTAAAATATTTATAATGTCGCAGCACATATTGCACACTTGCCAACAACTTCCATATGTAATACCTTTGTGGTTTGTTGATATGTCTGATACTTAATACAGTCAACATAATTATTTATGGTATTAAAGACCTTCCACTGTAGACCAAGTCACTTTAAGTTAAATTCAACTCAATATACATTGCAAGACTTATATCCACAGGAGTAAGACATGACTGACAATCTCACTTCATTATCTTCTTTTATCAATTGTAGTTTGTGGCGTGGCCGAATGATTAGCGTGTAAGACTAGTAATCTAAGGACTGCTAACCACGTGGGTTCAACCGTATCAGGGGCAAGCCATTATTTCCTCTAGAAAGAAACATTACATTTATTGCTTAGTACTGGTTGGTTCCAGGAACGGATTTGAGAGTGTTTCAATTAGCTTATAGCTTCCAACACAATCAAACTGAAATAAATTTGTAAACACTTACTGTAAAATTGTGGTTTGTTTAGTATTTACACGTGTTTTAACACACTTTTGATCATATGTAGATAGTCAGTCAACCTACCCTGCTTTTTCTGGATAACTTACCAGTAATTACTAATTTCTGTGCAAGTGACTGACTACCTATCCCACATTACTTCAGAATAAGTCATGAGAGACAAATAACAATTAGACTCAATGTCCTAGATAAATTGTCATTGAGGATCAAACCAGTGACCTTCGGATAACAAATTTCTAATATTATTTGTGATGTTTATTGAAACAGTATCAGATCAAACCAGTTACCCTTATGTATGTGTTCTGAAAAATATCACCAACAGTCCAACACACATACTTACTTAACATGTTCTTAATGGGAAATAACGCTTCCCTATTGTTTTGAGTAGGCTTAGGTGAGCCTCGCCAGCTCCCATCAGTTCAATGTTTAAATATAAAAGTAAATGATAAATCACTCTTTGTGTGACCTTTCACATCTTTAAATTAGGCAACACCTAGGTAAGCCACACCCTTTCTAATCAGTTCAATATTTACATCAAATAGTAAAATTATTACTCACCCTTTGTGCTTCCCTTCCCATGTTTCGATTGGGCAGTATCTAGCTGAGCCACGCCCTCTCTAATGAGATCCATATTAACACACACCTCCTCTGTGCCAGTGTTGTCTACCAGAAGAATACCAAGAATGGGCGAGTCTTCACAAGGGTTACTATAATATAAACATTTATTATATACTTATAAATATTCTGATTAGAGTGTAAAACATGACTTGGTAAATCTTCATATTGCTATCTTTTCAAATATTAAAATGTCATCAATATATTGTTTACAATCAATATGTTTCTTTGAAACCCAGACTGTCTAAAAGCTATGTCAATGTTCCCTTAATATGTATAAATTTGTTTGTATGTTTTACTATTTTTTCTGTCCAATTTTACCACAATTTTCATTGTATCTTGACAGGCGATCCACCTAACTTGCTTTTTCTGAATAAATGACCAGTAATTACCAATTTTTCCACTAGTGACCGACTACTTATCCCACATAATTTATGAATCAATGGTTAAAAGAGAAATAACCATAAGATTTAATGTCCAAGATCACAGGATCAAACCAGCAACCTCTGGATTACTTATCCAATGCCCTCTTAATAGAGCTAAATAGGCAGAAAAGATAATTTTTATACGACAGATTTTGGAAATGTTCGGTTAAAAAATAAATAATACAGTCAAACCAAATGCTTACCTTTTTTTGAAATCTTCAATGCTTCCATGCACTACATGCATGTGTAATGTTTTCTCGAGCCCGGCTATATCTATGAACTTTTCAACACTCTTCTTCGACCATTTGTTTACCATTTCCCCCTCATCGTCACAGACTGGTTTCACGTAAGCCAGGCTACATTTGATAGCCAGTCTAGGAACACTACAGAACTGAGATGGTAGTGGAAAGATTCTCCTTCTTGGCAGCCATTCTTCATCCCCAAAATCAATATAGTGGACCAGGACACGCCCCTTCATGATTTCATTCTCTGGTTTAGTACTTTGAATAATACCCCTGCAATATAGAAATAATTTTTTATTCATTTGCAAGCTTTTAAATTATTATTTTCTTCACACAAAGAAAACCTACAATATCTTAGTATATTAATGACAATAGAATTTCTCTGGAACTTTACACAAATTTCCCTAGATCTTTACATGAATTTCCATAGAATTTAAATGAATTTCCCTCAAATTTTACATGAATTTCCCTAGAACTTTACATTCCCTAGACCTTTACATAATTTCCCTGGAACTTTACATGAATTTCCCTAGACCTTTCCATGAATTTCCTTGGAACTTAACATGAATTTCCCTAGAAATTTATACCTCTTACCTATAAAAGTTATTGTCTTGTAGAAATTGAGCACAGCAAAGTTTCTTCTCCTCTGGCTGGAACGTTTTACTCAACTTCGTCAATTTTCTTCTATTTGCATTCTCAAACAAACCGTTCAAATTTTTCATCAATCTATCTAGAGTCTCGCCACTCTGCTGTGAGATTACGTGCACATAAAACTCTCCAGGTGACTTCACATGAGCAAGCATGACCTCTTGACCTTGAGGATTGAAATAAAGGTCATCAAGGTCGAAGTGAAGGTCAGACAGATGGATGCCCTTCTCAGGAGGGAAATCAAAGTCTGTTGTAAGGCTGGTTGTAGTTGAAACAGTTTCACAAGATTCTAAGTCCTGTAAAATAAACAAAAGTTTTACATATTAATAACATTGGGTATTATACTTATAGGTAAATACTGCACAGGACCCAAATCTTAAAATAATATTCTTGCAGACTAACATGATTACATTCAGAGAGGAATATACTATAGTTTTTAAAAAATACCCTGCAAATTTTTTTCAATTGGTACAAAATTATCAAAAATTTTGCAAGTACAATACATGTCACTCAAAAACTAATGTGCATGCAATTCTGTGTTAAATATGTCCATTTCTTCCAACTATATCAATATTTTGTCATCACTTTTCTTTTTTTAGTTAAAATATTTCTTTTGGTTGTTCAAATTTTTCAAATGTTTTATTAATGGCAAAGTTAAGCTCTAAAAGAAAAGCTTCTCCTTGAAGTCCTACTACTTACAACTGTCTCCTCTTTGATCCTGTCAAGATAGGCCTTGCTGTTTGTTCCCTGTACACCTTTTTGGCTCTTTTCATGCAGTTTACCAGTTGCTCTCTGGCCTTCATCTCGCTGTGACTCTGTGTCCGAGTTTTCCGACCTTGGAGAAATATGCTCCCTTGGTTTCCTCGTATCTGATGTAATTTGAGAAGAATTCCTTCCAGCAGACGTCACTTCAGCAGACGACAAATCTGAATCTTTCTTTAAATCTAACTGTTCTACTTTTAAGCTTTCCTGTTCAAGTCTTCTATTTGCCTTTGATTTAAACTCGTTATTACGTACGTCTGCTTCTGCATTTTTTGGCGGTTCGCATTGACTCTCACTCAATTCTGTAATAGCTAGCAGCGTTGAGGAAACCGTGTTTTGAGACAAGATGGCAACCTCTTCAGCACCTTCTTCCGACTTTGCCAACAACCCAAGCTGTTCTGATACATTGATTTGTCTAGCTTTTTTTGCGGAGACCATTAGCTGAGCTAAAATGTATAACCGTTAACATAATAATGTTTAAACATATCTTTGTTCATAGCTATTAAAGAGAGGCACTCTTTGTGTCAATCAAAGTGAGTAGGATTATATACATTCACTAAAGGCACTTTTTTTATTTAGTTGGGTTTACATCGCACCAACAAAGTGTAAGTTGTATGGCGACTTTCCAGATTTACTGGTGGAGGAAGACCTCAGGTGCCCCTTTGTACATTATTTCTGGCACAAACTGTCACCTGAGTAGAACCACTGACATTCCATAAGCTAGCTGGATAGCTTTCTCATTTGAAAAATTCAAAGGCAGGGCTCAGACCTACAACTGAGAGAGGCAAGTGGTTTGAAGTCAACAACCTTAACCACTCGGCCACTGACAACCTCTGAAGGCAATTAAGATCCCTTTAACAAATGACTGTGCTATGAAAAAGGTAAGGGATCTTCCCAGTGTTTACAGTACTATGAAAATTGGTTGAATGGCTATCCAACTGCTACACTGGAATAATACATGGTCACTGGTTTACCTACTTTATACAAAGAACAGATTTGTTTCTGATACTGTTAGTGAGCAACTGACCTACATAAGTTAAGTAGCATTGAATAGAAAAGGTGGAGCTAACTTTTTCACTGCTAAAAACTAGAAAGATCTATTTGACGGAAGGATGAAAAAAAAGAAAGAACAGATTGGATGGGGAGGAAAAGGACAACACATATTTTGGAAGCATGAACAAAGATTTCTGTAAAGTAAGTAATACAAATCTGCATTGTGTAGATACATACCTATACTAAACTGACTGAGGTATATTCCACCTTGAGGAATTATAGGCACTGGTAAACTAATGATCAACTCAACCAACAATGGAAGGGCCACCCCAGTGCTTCTGCAGGTGGGTGGGGTACAGCCTAATTGTTGTCCAGTTACATACTGTCTAAAGAAATGAATATCTTCCTCTGCCCACATACAGTACTTGTTGCATGGCATCACCTTTTTTTCAAATTAAAATGACATGTATTCATAGGCAACTTTATATTGTTCATATCCAGGACGTTATGGCATGTATGACATAAAACTTTATAAAGAACATGGCAAACTATTATCTATAGTAATTAATTCAATTAAGTTATATACAATAATGCACTATGATATGCACTGTGCCTTAAGTTAACGTATGCCAAAGTTTCTTTCATGCTAGCTTTTTTGCCAGTTATACATTATGCATTATACAGATCCTATTCAAACGTTATCATTAAGTACTTCAAGGACAGACCTCATTCTTACGCACGCACTGTGCGTATTGCGCATACTTGATGTGCATACTTTAAGCACAAAGATTGTGCGTACTTTAATGTTAAAGAAAAATTTCGTATACAATTTATAATTATGTTCTGATCGTATTTATAATAATGTTCATTTCATATGCTTTAATGTGACAGGGCCTTTATTATCTGAAATTTGAAATACATCATTGCAATGATTTACAGGTATAAACTTTTCTCTAATTTCTTTGTTATTACCTCCGCTAAAGCACAGCATATTGCTTGCATTGGTAAGGTCTTGAACTCATCTGGTAGTGTCCGTAACTGTGTTACCTTGACCTTCTCCTTGTTACCATAATCTACATACAGCACACTTACTTCGGAATCGGAATTCTCTACAAAATCATATCAAATCCATATGTTATAAACTTATAAAGATTAAATAATTAAAACTTCTTGTTTAGCAAACACAATTTGAGTATATCGCTCCTGAATTTAAATTTTGATTTCTGTAAGAACAGCTGTCTTCAATATTAATGAGAAGCTTGTAAAGCTTTATTTAACATCGTTAATCATTCCAGTCTGATGTATAGAGAAATGTAGGAGTTGCGCAGAAATGTTGCTCATAACTAAATTGGAGGAAAAAACAACTAAGGGCAATGATTATGCCAAAAATTATCCATTCTGATATATAGATGCATGCACTTCTAATGCGAGAAACTTTTCATGTGCAAGAAGTTCAATAGATTTATTTTGAGACTTTATATCATATAAATATTGTCCCCTAAGTGCAATAACAGGTTAAGTCCTGCTAAATTTAAAAGGAGTTAAACAATTATTGCACTAAGGTGACCATATAATAAACAAGATATGTTTGTAAAACATGTATGCCCCCTATCAGCAGCCAATTAGTCATGTGATCAGGTTATTATGCATGACTTCTGACCCAGTGAACAAACAATTAATAAGGGTTATCTAGTATCTTCTGGTCATGTCTAGTCACAAGGTAATAATTATTGTGACCCCATAGGTTGTGTGCAGCAATTTAAGTTATTACAAATCTTACCAAATAATATATGCATAAATTTTATGAATCATGTAGGCCTCATTAATAACAGCCAAGTTGTTATATTACATAAGACCTTCAAATGTGTTTACCAAAAGCATTTTTAGTTCAATATAAAAATATCAACCAAGGCAACTTGAGTTGTTGAGTTATTGGTCAGAAACCTTCATTAAGTACAGGGTCTATATGAGATTGACCCCTTGACCCCAAAATCAATAGGGGTCATCTACTGGTCATGACCAATCATCATACCAAGTTTGAAGTTCCTAGGCCTAAGCGTTCTTTAGTTATTGATCGGAAACTGTTTTTACCTACAAGGTCAATGTGACCTTGACCTTGGACCCCTTGACCCCAAAATCAATAGGGGTCATCTGCTGGCCATGACCAATCATCATACCAAGTTTGAAGTTTCTAGGCCTAAGCGTTCTTTAGTTATTGATTGGAAACCGTTTTTACCAACAAGGTCAATGTGACCTTGACCTTTGACCCAAAATTCAAAAGGGGTCATCTGCTTGTCACGACCAACCATCATACAAAGTTTGAAGTTCCTAGGCCTAAGCATTCTTTAGTTAATTGATCGGAAACCCTTTTTACCTACAAGGTCAATGTGACCTTGACCTTTGACCCCTTGAGCCCAAAAATCAATAGGGGTCATCTGCTGGTCATGACCAATCACCATACCAAATTTGAAGTCCCTAGGCCTAAGGGTTCTTTAGTTATTGATCAGAAACCGTTTTTACCTACAAGGTCAATGTGACTTTGACCTTTGACCCCTTAACCCCAAAATCAATAGGGGTCATCTACTGATCATGACCAATCACCATATCAAGTTTGAAGTTCCTAGGCCTAAGGGTTCTTTAGTTATTGATCGGAAACCGTTTTTACCTAAGAGGTCAATGTGACCTTGACCTTTGACCCCTTGACCCCAAAATCAATAGGGGTCATCTACTGATCATGACCAATCACCATATTAAGTTTGAAGTTCCTAGGCCTAAGGGTTCTTTAGTTATTGATCGGAAACCGTTTTTGCTTACAAGGTCAATGTGACCTTGACCTTTGACCCCTTGACCCAAAATTCAAAAGGGGTCATCTGCTTGTCACGACCAACCATCATACAAAGTTTGAAGTTCCTAGACCTAAGCATTCTTTAGTTAATTGATCGGAAACCCTTTTTACCTACAAGGTAAATGTGACCTTGACCTTTGACCCCTTGACCCCAAAAATCAATAGGGGTCATCTGCTGGTCATGACCAATCACCATACCAAATTTGAAGTCCCTAGGCCTAAGGGTTCTTTAGTTATTGATCAGAAACCGATTTTACCTACAAGGTCAATGTGACTTTGACCTTTGACCCCTTAACCCCAAAATCAATAGGGGTCATCTGCTGGTCATGACCAATAACCATACCAAGTTTAAAGTTCCTAGGCCTAAGGGTTCTTTAGTTATTGATCGGAAACCGTTTTTACCTAAGAGGTCAATGTGACCTTGACCTTTGACCCCTTGACCCCAAAATCAATAGGGGTCATCTACTGATCATGACCAATCACCATATTAAGTTTGAAGTTCCTAGGCCTAAGGGTTCTTTAGTTATTGATCGGAAACCGTTTTTGCTTACAAGGTCAATGTGACCTTGACCTTTGACCCCTTGACCCCAAAATCAATAGGGGTCATCTACTGGTCATAACCAATCACCATACCAAGTTTGAAGTTCCTAGGCCTAAGGGTTCTTTAGTTATCACTCGGAAACCATTTGGTCTACGGACCGACGGACCAACGGACCGACAAGTGCAAAGCAATATACCCCCTCTTCTTCGTAGTGGGGGCATAATAATGTACATACTTGAAGCCGAATGTATCTGCATTACATATGCTCTGTAGTAAGCGCCATCCTTGCTGTATTTTGCCAGACATAATGTTCCAATCTCTGGTTCCAGTAGCGGAGGTTCTGCAAGACCACCATGTGCCATATAAATGCTGGAATATAATATTAACTTGTTCACTTTTTAATTCAGTCTATGGCAGGACGGCCTAGCAAATCTCTATCCCCCTTCCTGAGTACTTGAGGTATTTTTTTTATTCTGTTTTAACGCTGCAACACAATATAGGTCAAATGGCGACTGTCCAGTTTTCCAGTTTTACTGGTGAATAAAGGCCTGAAGTGTCTTAAGCCCTGAACAAAATAGTTGATAATATATTCTAATTTAAATTCTTTAAAATTACAGCTTACACAAGAAAGACAAGAATGCCCACTGCCCTAAAAGTTAAAGATATAACATTTCTAAAACTTTTCTGCAGGAAAAGCCCATACAGTTAATCATAAAAAAAACTTTTATGCGGAGAAAAACAGTTCTACAAGCTATTTTATACACAATACTGAAATAAATTACACAAATGGAACACCTTTTTGAATAACTGAATACACGATGTATAATGATTGAATGCCATTGCCACAATGCACATAACTGCAGTTTGAATTTTACAGTCAACTTCTCAATTTTTGGAATAAAAGATATCATGAAATCCTTACATTTATAGCAGCTGACAAAATTTGAAATTTGACATAGATATTGAACAAATTAAGTTATGTAATGGGTAAAATAAACTCATTAAAAGCTTGATTTTTGTTTTGTGCCGTTTTTATACAAATTTCCACACATTTTTTGTCAAATCAGAGAGATTGGTCCAACTAATCAGCTTTCCTAGATTACAAACCACTAATTACCAATTTTAACTCATTGGAAACACTCAAGAAAACAAAGTAATAATTTTTACCATATCTGTTCCATAAGTTTATTCAACTCGGGATCATTCTTTTGTACAAAGAAGCACCAAGGGGAGACAACTTCACTCACAATAACAGGAGTTATCTTTCCGGCCAAAAGATTGGCAGACCTCAGTACACTATTGTTTGCATTACTCTCCTGTAGTACAGAAGCATCGTTTATCTCCCTTGAAGTTATGTCAACATTTGCAGAGTCAAAATTTTCAGGAATTTGTTCCCATTTCACACTACTACTGTCTTGATTTTGCACCACAGATTTTTGACCAGGATGAAGTTTACTCAAAGGACTATCTTCATTATCTTGATGATGTGTAAGAACTTCTTGCTTTTCTACTGAACTTTTAACATCTGAGGTTGTTGATATTTCACTACTCTCAGTGGCCCTAAGTTCATCTAGTTCATGCTCTAGTAAACTTTTCTCTGACGATGCCATAGTGCGTTCACTAGAAATCTCACTTGGTTCACTCTTCGTAACATTATTGTCCGACACTTTTTGATTGGAATGTTTTTCGATGTCTTGCTGCTTTACATGAATGGCATCTTTACCTACAGTTCTGATGTTTTCTTTTTCTACTGACACCTTATGTTTTGTGGCATTAGTTCTTTCACTTTCTTTACATTCATTTCCACCAGAAGTGCTCAAATTCATTTTCCCGCCTTTTTTCTTTGGTGACGTTTTCTTTTTCTTTGCACCGTTCTTTGGACTACTTGCTAGGATCACATCTTGACTGAAAGTCACTGAATCCACCTGACTAGAACTACTTCCATCTGTGTCTAGAACAGAGTCTTTATTCAAATGTCTCCTTACATTCATTGGAACTATTTTCTCTTTCTTGACTCTTCCTTGATCTTTCGGACTACTTTTAACTCTAGACTTACTACTGTTTTCTATAATGTCTTTATTTTGATTTGTAATATCTTGTTCTGTATCTTTATGCACCCAAGTTTCATAAAAATCTTTTTTTGAATCATGGCTGCTGCCATCACTGCTTTGTTTCAAATTTTTGACAGTCTGTTCTTTAGGACAGACTGTGTCCCTGTTGGTATTCTGTTGGGCTGAAGTATCATGTTTAGACTGTGCCATGCAAAAAACTTTGTCCTGTTTGGAAACAGTCTGTTCATCAAATACAAAATCCTCCTCTGGAACAGTCTGGCTAGCAGCCTCAGAACTACCATGCCTTTTTCTAATTGAGCCTTGTATCATTTCTGAAATCAAAACTTTCTAATCATCATAGAAAAAGACAAAATTATAATCGATCATCAAAATAAACAAAAGAAAACTAAAGCTATTGATTTTTGTTGAAATCCCTACATACTACTAATAACACTTTCTTCCTTTTTCTTCTTTGAAATATTTGGAAGAATAATGTTCATATTTATCGACAATTAACAATAGAAAATGAAGTTTTTCTTCATTACCCTTTTACACCTATGGGATCAAATTTTTTTTTAATTTCTATTCCTAACCTACCGAAGTCGAAGTCTAGTAATAAAAAAAATGTATTTTTTATTCATTTATTTTTTGATTAGGTTTAAAGTCACAATGCCATTATATTAGTCATATGGCATCTTTAAGCTTTAATGTTTAAGTAAAACCACAGCCCCTCTGTGAATTTCAGGCTCCAAATGGGAACCTCAGTAGAACCACTGACATTCCATAAGCTAGCTGAATAGCTTCCAAACTACAAAGAATTAAAAGTCCCACCCACAGAGGTGATGGGCAAGTGGTTTGAAGTCAACAACCTTAATCACTTGGCCACAGACACCATTATTGGGCATTCAAATAGTTCACATAGTTATATGTTAATTCTGGTCCTATTTTTAAGTACTTACCTTCAAGTTCTTTCTTAATGTCTGTATCTGAGAACTGCCTTGTTAGAGCTTTAGGATTTTTCTCTTGAGAAGTTCTAGTGCATTCTAGCTGGTCTGAAATAAAATAACAATTTGTAAGTAAAACACAGAATCAAATGAGCCGCGTCATGACAAAACCAACACAAGAGCACCGCTAGGCGGAGCATTATATGCCCGAAAGTGTTTTTTTTCTTTACTTAGGATGAAGCATTTGTAAGACATTACATAAATTAAATAAAGTATTACCTCCTTCAAATAGCAATCCTCCTATAAAGTTTGAATATTGTGGGTCAAATGGAACTTCAGTTATGCTCTGGAAACTGTTTTTAGTTTTGAGCTAATAGCTACCTTGAACTTTGACCGTGTGACCCCAAAATCAATAGGGGTGTTCTACCCAATATGGACAATCATCCTATGAAGTTTCAACACTATGGGCCAAATAGATATTAAGTTATGTTCTGAAAACTGTTTTTATTTTAAAGTAATAGTGACCTTGACCTTTGACATCGTGACCTAAAAATCAATAGGGTTATTCTACCCAATATGGACAATCATCCTATGAAGTTTGAATATTGTGGGACAAATAGACCTTATGTTATGCCCTGGAAACTGTTTTCAGTTTTAAAGTAATAGTGACCTTGACCTTTGACCTTGTGACCCCAAAATCAATAGGGGTCTCCTACCCAATATGGACAATCATCCTATGAAGTTTGAACACTGTCAGCCAAATGGAACTTAAGTTACGTTCCGGAAACTGTTTTCAGTTTTAAAGTAATTGTGACCTTGACCTTTGACCTTGTGACCCCAAAATCAATAGGGGTCTTCTACCCAATATGGACAATCATCCTATGAAGTTTGAATACTGTGGGCCACATGGAACTTAAGTTATGCTCCAGAAACTGTTTTCATTTTTAAAGTAGTAATGACTTTGACCTTTGACCTTGTGACCCCAAAATCAATAGGGATCTTCTACCCAATGTGGACAATCATCCTATGAAGTTTGAACACTGTCGGCCAAATGGAACTTAAGTTATGCTCCGGAAATTGTTTTCAGTTTTAAGGTCATAGTGACCTTGACCTTTGACCTTGTGACCCCAAAATCAATAGGGGTCTTCTACCCAATATGGACAATCATCCTATGAAGTTTGAACACTGTCGGCCAAATGGAACTTAAGTTATGCTCCAGAAACTGTTTTCAGTTTAAAAGTAATAATGACCTTGACCTTTGACCTTGTGACCCCAAAATCAATAGGGGTCTTCTACCCAATATGGACAATCATCCTATAAAGTTTGAACACTGTGGGCCAAATGGAACTTAAGTTATGCTCCGGAAACTGTTTTCAGTTTAAAAGTAATAATGACCTTGACCTTTCACCTTGTGATCCCAAAATCAATAGGGGTCTTCTACCCAATATGGACAATCATCCTATGAAGTTTGAACACTGTGGGCCAAATGGACCTTAAGTTATGCTCCGGAAACTGTTTTCAGTTTTAAGGTCATAGTGACCTTGAAGTTTTAATGTTGTGGGCCAAATGGAACTTAAGTTATGCTCTGGAAACCAATTTGCTAACGGACGGACGGACAGACAGACGGACGAACAGACAGACAGACAGACAGACGGACGGACACCAGGGGGTATAACATTATATGCCCGAAATTCTTTCGGGCATATAATAATGGGTTTGCAACCAGCATGGATCCAGACCAGCCTGCGCGTCCGCGCAGTCTGATCAGGATCCATGCTGTTCGCTTACAAACCCTATTACAAGTAGAGATACTGATGGCGAACAGCATGGAACCATGATCAGACTGTGCGGATGCGCAGGCTGGACTGGATCCTTGCTAGTCGCAAACGCACTGTTGGTTTTGTCATGATGCGGCTCAAATGTCTTCATTCCCTATATCTGAAATCTGTGAAATTACCTAAATTCTAAAAATTTGACATTTAAACCCTAGTAAAACCACAGACCTTCTGTGTGGTAATTAGACACCTTCTTGACAGGAAAGAATCCAAAGTCCCCACATAGTGAAGGGCAAAGTGCATTTTTCAAAGATATAAATTCTTTATCATCCAATATGTACATTTAATAAAAGTAAATATTTGTTTGCAGCTTTGTCTACATGAACATACCTTCTTCTACAACATCCCCTTGATCTGCACTGTCTGAAATAATACATAATATTCATATAGATTAAATAATTCAGAAACATACAATATAACTGTACTGTTCAGATCTAAATATAATACATTTCCTTCATTTTATCTGAAAAAAATTAGAAATAACAAAAAAATATTTAAGATCATCAAAATGTCAAAAAATCACAAAGGAATTTTTCAATCTAATAAACAGAGGATAATACTTTTCTAAGGTTTTTTATGTTTCCTGTTGTTTTTATTAATTTGGTTACACAACAAGTCATCTTTGACACCTGTACATACATACTAAATTTCTGTAATTAGTTAACAGTTAATAAATGAAGGTTGTATATGAGAAAGCTTGTTTGACAGGTTCCGTTTGAAGTTGCATCAACACAGTTCTGGCCATATACCAACTTTCCAGTTTTACTAGCGGAAGAAGACCTTCCATGCATTAATTCAGGCAAAAGCAAGCACCAGAGAAGAACCACCGAAGTTCCGTTAACTAGCTGGATATATTCCCCCTATAAGAGAATCCAATGTCTCTAGGAGGGGATTCAAACCCACAGTGGTGATCATGATAGGCAAGTGGTTTGAAGTGAAAAACCTTAACTGCTTGGCCAAAACACCAGTAATTAAAACAGAACAGCATAGAAACAAGTATCATAGGTCGTCTTACCAATCATGTCCTCAGCAGAGGATGTGAGTAGCTCCACCAGGTTAAAGGCAGCATCTAACAACTGCTCCACCTTACCATACTGGTTTAAGAATAGACCTGTATCCTCCAATTTCAACACTTCAGCACATCTTTTCTCTGCCTGATTGGTAAGAAAAAAATTAAGTTATACTGCTTCATTTTTAGCAGTACATAAACATGTACTCTTAGATAAATCATCATGTATACTTGTATCCATATTACGCAGGAATGTGAAAATAACGCAACTTTACTCATTCAGAAAGAAGAGAAAATAAGAAGATTAAGGTTGAAATGGCCTTATGCTTAATGTTTCTGCCCCTCCACAGAGGGAACAAAGGTTTGAGCCTTAATTCTTCACGAAAAGGATTCCTCATTAGACGTTTCCTCAAAGATATCTAGATATCATAACAAAAATCTTCAGTCTTTTAAGTGGTTTACTTACAGGTTATGTGTATTTTTCAATAAATTAATTGGTTGGATTTACACCAGCACTGTTAAAGACACATATGAACACTTTCCACCTTTCCTTGTGGACAAAGACCTCAGGTGCCCCTCCAGACATTATTTCATTACTATCGAGCTAATTATATATGTTTTAAACTATGACGACATCAGTATTACCTTTTGTACATGGTCTCTGACTACAGTGTGTAGGTTCTCCTCCATCGAGGACAGGAGTTCAAGCTTCTCATTCAGCCTCTTCACTACTCTCTGTTTATGGCGCTGCTTCGCAGACATCTTTCCTGAATGTAAAAATGTTAAATGTTAAAATTCATAAGTTTTCTTTGATTTACCTATTTAGTCAGGAATCAGAAAATAATATATTAATTTTCCAATACAGATTTAACATTTATAAAACTTTGGGATACAGTCATATTTGCAATATTGTTCACATGTCAGACTAGTAATCCAATAATTGTTAGCTACATGGGTGCAAACCCTGTCAGGGGTTAGTTGCTGTTTCCTGGAGCAAGAAACTTTACCCATTGCTCAGTACTTAAAAGTTGGTTCCAGAACGGTTCCGAAAGTGTGTCTATAGGCTCATAGCTTCCTACATAATTGATTCAAAATAAAGTTTCAGGTTATCTAAAGGATAGACATGAATAATAAATGTTAATCAAGTGAGCTTTAAAAGTATTTTAATAAAATAAATCAAATATTTGAGTTTACAAGCGCTCTTCAGAAAAGAATAAACCTAACTTGTATATAGACTCTATGTTTATTTAGTATGACGTGGGGAAGGAAAATACACTGGAGCCGCGATATAGCGCTCTTCGATATAGCGCTAATCTCAGTAGAACGCTCATATGCCTTGGCTCCCAAAAATAAAAAAAATCGTATTTTTCGCCAATTATATTTTTTTTTTCATGTATATCAGTACCGTACCTTATCCACTATAACGCTTGTTCAATGTGTCAGTCGAGTGCAATAAACAGTCATAATTACGTCACTCATGATCAGAAGGTGTGAAGTCATACACAGGTAAGCATTAATCCGCTCTTTTGTTCATTTTGAACTGTTGATCAGTCAGGTATCAAACTGTTAGCTAAGACATGCAAACACTGAAGAGTTGAGTAAATCACACAAGCGTACAATTAATTTTAAAAAGCATGCACTTTCGATATATCGGCAAAAAAGTTGTTGAAGATGACTGATTTTTTCACAAGAGACAGCAGGAAAGACGATTAATTTAGTCTTTAAGCAAGATTGACACAGCTCAGCTAGGTTCTTCTCCTAACTAACAAACTAAATTGTTTATTTCTGATTGTATTGACACTTATATCTGAGGCTTGACAAAGAGGGTATCAAAATTACCTAAATTGTATACACTACTGTACCATGTGTCTGGACAGATATGTACATGGCGTGATTTAATTCAGATAAAAGCTTGGGTGTTTTGATTTTTACATGATATACAATATTTCAGCAACAAATGCTGAAGTTTTGAATATTCCATTGTTTACTCTGCAAATGATTATAGCTGGTATATGAGGTCAGGCATTGCTTTCTTGACCCCCACATTTCAACGTCAACATTCTTGAAATAGTCATTTAAATGTTACCATTTGCGGAGGTTGAAATAAATTTATTTACTTAAATTTAGATGAAACATACATTTATTGTTAATAAAAAGTGACAGACAACCACTGAACAAAGAATATACTAAATTAAGCATTTTCAGGGCCGTCCGGGTTTGGTGGTTGTCTGGTTTTGGTAGTCCCCAACCAGTTCACATAACTCACATTAACACCGTTGTTTTACTGGAAATTTATAAACAATTATACATTTGTCACTGGTTTATATTTTTAATTCATAATTTTCATGTTTATATTAAACATATTCAGTAATGCTTTACAAAATAATAAATAATTATATATAAAAAAGTTCGGACTGATATCCATTGATAGGTAAGTAAACAATCATTTCCACTATCAACCCAGCAAACACCCGACGTTGACCCAACGTTGGATCAACGTTGAATTTTGGTCGCGACGTCGGTGACCTTCACACAACGTCAAATCGAATCCCCGACATCTAACAGACGTTTCATTTTGACGTCGACTCGACGTCTGGTTTTGGTCGGTAATCTGACAATAGGTAAATTTAATTTATGAAACCAATATATATATATATAAATGAAAGCATAAACAGCGAGAATTTTAAGTTTAAGTTTAGAAAGGGAACATTATATATTTATTTTCTCCATCAAAACAAAAGTATCACATGGGTGGCTAACGTACGATATTGGATAGGTGGCACTCTGTAAACGGATAGTCGCAGATCCGTATGAAATATATTTGCTCTATTTTCGTTTCAATATAAATATCTTATCTCCTCGAATTAGTCTAAGAAGTGTTTATATAATTTACAATGAAGCTGTTATCATTTTTGAGGTCTTCATTTTATAGTGGTAAATAATTTAGTAAATTCGAATTTGCGACTTATCGGATTTGAAATTCAATTGTATTGGCGGACAAAAAAAACGACGGGTTGACAGACAAAGTTGTATATTCCAAACAAAAGAAAAAGGTAGGCAAACATATATTGTTTTTCAATGTTAATTTACTGCATGTTTGCATGGTTTCGATGGTTATTTGATCATTGAAATGTTTGACTGGTAAAACGTAATGTAACGTGATTTCGCGAGATAAATATTTTTGTTTCCACGTAAGAACACTTTATCATTTGCTATAGAACAGTCTGTATAATCGGATCATTTTTCCCACACTATATCGCCATGCCAAATAAATGCACAATCAATGGTAGGAAATATCCTAGCAATTGAAATCAATAAAAAGTTAAATGCAGTACGTAAGACTCTTATTATTCAAATGCTGGTAAACAAAATTTCCTCTTATTTCTTATCAACATGAATTTCCCTTATATGAGGGGCTAGTCATTTACACATGTGTCAGATGCAGTTTGATTTTGATATCTGTGTAGTTGTTAAACTACTCGTTGTTAATTGAAGTACTTTACCCATACTGTTAGCATACCATGTGTTTCTTATATTATGATAATGATTCATGGCATTTGATACATGTAAATGATACAACTTTGGTAAGATATATCTGAAAGTACATCGTATTTGACTAGCTATCTTTTTATTAATGTAATCAAACAACATATTATCAATCAGAAAACACATTATCATAGTTATAAATCAATAAAAGTAATAGTTTGTTAATTAGCCTGCTTATAAACAAGTTGTATGCTCGTATCATAAAACGTTTTTACACTAAGCCAGTCTGTCCTATATACACTTAGCAGACCAGATCATGCTGGGCAGAGATGATATCTATAAAAATGACAGTAACATGTGAATTTCTTTGATGTTGTATGAGCATTTGTACAAAGTACATTGCCTATAAAAAATAACAATATCAATTTTTGCGGGAGTAGAATTAATTTCATTTTGGTATTTGTTATATCAGTTTTTCATGCGCTTATGAGTTAACTAAGATTAATAGTAATTGGATTTTGCCTATTGTATTAGACAAACACCCTTCCACCACATGGTTCACTTCTAAAACGATTATATTTCGTCTTTCAGATTGTGAAAATTATGATAATTCAACATGTGTCAAAAGTTCAGGAGGAAGATGAAAATATTTAGAGGAAAAGAAAAATGAAAACCTACCAAGATTTTGTGACAGGTATATTTCAAAATATTATAGAAAATACAGTGATCTTATTACCCTTGATTTTATAATGAAATTCACGAAGCCATTTTTATCAAAATTAATAGATATATACAGTAGGTACACGAAACTACATGGTTTAAACTAAATTAAAAATAATAAGTATCTTTTTAAGTAGTTGGAGAGTTTTGTTAGAATTTCGTTTAATTATAATATGTATAAGTGATTTATTTCTTGCACTTGTAACTGATTATTTTATTTTATTTTAATTTCAGAAAGTGTGATGAGATCTCAGGTTGGGGACGGTAATGATACGCTTAAAGTATGCCCCAGATCGACATAGTGGAGGTGGACGAAAGAAGCTAGAATACTAATGAAGATACATGAACATTGCTATTTATTATAACAAAATATTCAGAATATGTTCCATTTAACATTCAGATCTAGATTCAGTTATAAAATACAAAGACAAATATACAATCAGTGAGTTGGATAGATGATTGAAAAATCCCAAACTCAGAGTGATCAGTTCAGTGGTGATATAAGAAAAAACACATGCATGGATGTTTGCTATATAAAATGTCAGTGTTAATATTCAAGAAGGATTTTGTTTATCTTATTTCTAAAACATGCTTAATTAATACATGAAGCAATATTAAAGTACATACCATCAAGTTTAATAGTTTCAAAAAATATTATGTTAATCTTGCATTTGTTATAGTACCACATTTCTTGTTTTTGTACTTGTATAAAATAAATTGCTAAAATCATAAGAATGCTTATTTGTTTACCCTATTAAAGAGCTTCAAAATGAAAAAAAAATCATATTCCAAAAGTTTTGAATGAGGTTACGTAAATCATGGTCAGAAAATTTGGTCAGATAAGGTTGGCATATGGTCAGATAATGGTCAGAAAAGGTTGGATTATGGTCAGATAATAGTCAGAAAAGGTTGGATTATGGTCAGAAAAGGTTGGATAAAGGTCATTTTATGACGTTGTATAGATGTCGGTTTCTGACGTCTAAAAAACTTTCAAATCCAACCTTCTGCCAACGTTTACCCAACGTCAGGGTCTAACGTCAGTACAACGTTGGTACAACGTCTTTTGTTTGCTGGGAAGCTTTATATGTTTCGGCGGTGGCTGGGGTAATGCGATATTTTCGCTATAATTACAAAATGAGCGTTATAAGAAGTTACTCAATACAACGCTGTCTTGAGATCATGGACCCAAACATGAGCGCTATAACGGGGCTCCAGTGTAGAGAGATTCTCCAATGTTTGCATCTGGTAAATCGTACTGTATATCTACTTAACTTTCTTTTTTCTATTTTGAATGAATTTGTAAACAATGAACAGTACATCATGAAATTGTTATACAATTAAATCTTTAAACTAAGTTTCTATAGGATACATTTATTATTCTGATTGTTGCGATTCAGATGATTCGAGATCGCAAACAGACGAAATCTAATTTCTAATAACTTGATAACAATTTTTTACAATTTAACTTGCAAATGTTGCCGCCGTTTAAAATTTAATTAGTATAAAAAATCTTTTGCGTGTCATGCAAAATTAACTAATGCAATATATAGAATAAACATTTTTGTATCGTAAATTTCGGTTATCAATTGAAATGCACCTTTTTAAAATGATGTTACAAGTAAAATGAAACTGAAAATATTCCCGATTTTTCTCCACCATGTGATTGAAGAGTATCCAATGAACACAGTCTAAGACGCGGACGAATTTTGTCAATGGGACGGTATAATTTACAGACAGACTTTGCAGAAAAGTTTAACAAACAAGGATTAAAAAGACCATGGCCAAAATAACAAGATGGTATCATAGACGACAACACAGAATGTTTTTATGAAAAAAAAATGCAAATTTCTTTTTGTAAATGACACAGATGAAGACTTTTCGTTGACGTGAAAAAAAAATATTCTAAGGTCACAAAATAATAGATTAATCTAATAGATTTAAATAAATAATTAATTTATGTGATTTTATTTAGTTTAGAACACGTAATTTAATTGACACTATACAGAAATATTGGTCAGCATGTGTAGTTGTGCACCTGGGGTTGACTTGTTGATATTTTCATTATTTTGTAGAGTTATTGCCCTTGACTTAGTAAATTCAAATCTGTGTTTTGAACAAAAAAAATATTGTTGAAATATCTATTATTTCAATCTTATCATTAAAGAACATAAAACAGAGTTAAATTGAGCGTGAAAATTACACATTTACAACTGATCATGTGATCTGTGGATATCAATACAAGTATATGATCTTTCAAAAGGCACGGCAAGAAAATTTACATACAAAGGGAATAGCTGTAGGAGTAATGAGTTGACTGTAAGGCCCCCACGGTTACAGGTTTAAATGGATGCGTTTCGATTTTCATTCATCAACGTTAACGATATTTTTTACCGTTTAATCGAAATGACCATATTGTTTTACAAAATATCTTAATCTTTGCCTGTACTCATGGATTTTATCAATTCTAATTGGTTTATTCCAAAGTAAAAATGGAAAATGGGTGTTTACAATCCTTCACACAGCTTCACCGTGCAATAATCCCTTGGGACATAATACATTTTTGGTACAGTTGATTTTCCTTTGATCTTTCAAAAGAGCGCAATGGGCATACAATGCAGAAAATGTGTGCCGACACAATCGTGATGAGCCCTGAACATTATTTATTTCTACATGTATCAAAAATAGAAAGTATGTCATCATTTGGCAACTTGAATATATGGTGAAGTAAAGTACATAGAAGTACCACCGTTTAAACGGTATCATTTCGGTTCTTAACAATCGTGTAAACGTTTACAGTCATACAATCATCAAAACCTTTATAAAGCCTACCCACGGAAAACAATAATTTTGCAATTAATTTGCATATACAGGGGACATAATTTAATGAGTTGATTGCAGAGAAAGGCAATATTGACCAATACTTACATGCCAAAAATATACAGTGTAAAATAATAAGTCAAGTGTTAGTCAGCAAGTACATGTATTAGGTATTATAGTTGATATAGCTCCACCTAAATTTACATTGCATTACAACTGTAGTATCATTTAGTTTTTTTCTTTGTTTTTTGTTTGGTTGGATTTTCTGTCACACCTACATAGTTTAGGTCATATGGCAATTTTCATACTTTACTGGTGGAAGAAGATCTCAAGTGCTCTTCCTTGTATCATTTCAGGTACAAATGGGCACAATCATTGAGATCTTTTCAAAGCATTCATGTGGAAACTATTGATGTCTTTGGACATAAGGATGGATAAATAACAACACCCTACGGTAGTAAGTCCTACAGACATTTTCGGACATGTATAAATCATGTGATTCACAGACCTGATGTTTAATGTAATGATAACTATACACTTTCGCCATGTTGGATTTCATAGCTAACATTTGATACATATTTCCAAGTTTCTTTGTTTTTTTTTTTTTTTTGGGGGGGGGGGGGGTTTACGTCACATCGACACAGTATTAGTCATATGGCGACATTCCAGCTTTACTGGTGGAGGAAGACCTCAGGTGCCCTTCCGTGCATTATTTCAGGCACGAACGAGCACCTGAGTAGAACCACCGACGTTCCGTAAGCTAGCTGGATAGCTTCCTCACATGAAAGAATCCAAAGTCCCTGTCGGGATTCGAACCCACAGTGGTGAGAGGCAAATGGTTTGAAGTCAAGGACCTTAACCACTCGGTCACGGACGCCCCGTGTGCATATTAGATCATTTTGCTCATTCTGCGTTTCCTAGATTAATAATTTTTATTGAGCAAAATGATCCAAAAATGAAAAACATTGCCAAGCTTGTCACTCGTATTGGCCTTTATTTTGAACAAAAATCATTTTCTATTAATATTTTTGTATATTTCTATCAGCTTTTGAACATGTTTTTTTAATTATCAGTTCACCATTTGATTTATGAAATAATTTCAAATTTAATGATTTTAGGCTTTTGGACCTTAGTTTAGTTCTTTAATACCTGTGTCCTTGACCCCATGGTATGGACAATCTGGTGGTAGAATTTGAAATAATATAGCTGCCTTATAATAATATTCATACTATCATGCCCAATATCAATAGTTTATCAAAATTGAAAATTTTGTTAAAGATAAAATAAAATTATGTAGATTTTTTTTCTTTATTTTAACATGAACATTTTACTTTACAAACACATAAAAATAAAGGCATACAAGGTGCAAAAATCATATATATAAAATTGTACATGTATAATTTTTTTTTATCAAAGTAGATTATAAATGCATGAGAAGTCGTTTTGTTCAGGGGAACATACAAGTCCAATATTATTCAATCCACATGTAATGTTTCAGTTTAATAAATACAGCAGTTAATTAAATACAGCAGTTAATTAACATGTAGTCAGTGGAATACTCCAGAACTTAACCATTTTCAGCAATTATCAGCAACATTTAACAAAGGCTGGTCTGGATCCATGCTGGTCGCAAACGCATTACGTTGGTTTTGTCATGACCAGGCTCAAATAACTATCTATTTCACAAAGTTTATCAACCTCCAATGTTTAGAATGGTTAAACCCCTCTTTATCAAGGAGTTTGCTGTTTATTTTCTAAATCACATATTAATCTTCTTTTTTTCTTACACTTATAATGTTAAAGAAACTTGTATTGATTTGAAGATAACATAGTGTAAGAAAAAAAAAGGTTAATATGTGATTTAGAAAATAAACAGCAAACTCCTTGATACATTGAAACTTTGGAGGCTGATAAACTTTGTTAAATAGATATTTATATATCCATTATACTATCAAAAATACAATAAAATACAATGTAGTTTTCATGATAAATACCCTTTACAATAAAAAATGTTATGAATATCTTTGGAATGATGAAATCATTATGTCTAAGAAATACAAAACAATAAAACCTAATTCATTTTGGTAATGAAAAGTAAAACTTAACAATATTTGGTGATTAAAAATCATTAAAAAATTTAAAATTTCTAAAATCAACTTAGTAATCATAAAATGATAGCAAAATCAACAACCAATGGCAACAACAACAACAACAACAACAACAACATTAGCACTTATGCTAATTATAAACACAAAATTGGTCTACAGGGCTTATAAATTTCTTAACCTGCTCAATTTCTTAAATGGACTTGTCTAGGTTCCATTTTTTTTATGGGGGGGGGGGGGGGGTTGGGGGGGGGAATGTCCAATATCAATTTGAAAATTTGAAGTTGGTCAGTCATCAGTATTAAGCCTGATAGATGTACAGGCTGGCCTGTCTCTATTTTGATGGCAAAGGCTAATCACTTTCAGGTCAGACAGAATAAGGATAAATAAGTAATTATATGGTGTTAAGTTAAAGATCAGAGTAAAGTTACAGATTGGTGTAAAGTAACTGATCAATGTAAAGTGACAGATTGGTGTAAAGTTACAAATCAGTGTAAAGTTACAAATCAGTGTAAAGTTCTAGATCAGTGTAAAGGTCTAGATCAGTGTGTAAAGTTACAGATCAGTGTAAAGTTACATATCAGAGTAAAATTACAGATCAGTGTAAAGTTACCATTCAGTGTAAAGTTACAGATCAGCTAAAAGTTACAGATTAGTGTAAATTAACAGATCAGTGTAAAGTTACAGATCATGAAATATACTATTTTATAAAACCATATCATTTTAGTTTTAACAAAGTGTGTCAGTTATTTAATACATAGAAATTAAGAAAATACAGAATAAAATATTCATTAACAAAATAAACTAGAGCTATTTTTTAATAGGTTTTGCAATAAATTGGCACATGTTCCACCAGCTTTATCAGAAATTTACAAACATTACTCTTTCAATGCATGTACTTTGGTGTGGTTTTTTGGTGTGGTTTTTACAAAAACAAAATAACAAAAAAGAAACATAACAAATATTATAACAATTGCTGACAGTCAAATATAATTTTTTTACACTTTCCAAGAAGTCAACCCTTGTTTAGATTTATTAATGTTTATCACTAAAGACTTATGTTACTTCCCTGTTTCTAATATGAAACCCTGATAAATGTATTTGGCATTACAACACCGAATATACACAACACAAAATAAAAAAAAACATCATTATTTTCAAATGATAGGATGATATACAATGTACTCATATAGTTGTTGGCACAGAATATTTGATTTTTTTTTCATTTGCATTTAAAGCTTAAAATGTAAAACTAGTGAAATCCACCTCAAATGGACCCATTCATAGTTCAAATACAAGTTAAAAAGCTTTGTATAGCATATCATTAAATTTATGCAAAGTACATCTTTGGCAAGTTTTATCATAATTGGTAGGTTTCAAAAGATATGTTGATTGAAGCAACAATTTTAGCTTATGAAAGGCATGGATCTATCAATCCTAGGGAGCAATGAATACTTAGGTGGGTAAAAAAGTAAAAGTATGGTTGAAAAACAAATTCAAATGAACACATTATAAGGCCAAAGTGAAATGAAGTGAGGTTTTACTAAAAGATGAAATTGGTAAGTAAAAAACTTTTTTTTTCATTTTTATTTATTTTTTATTTCTTTTTATTTAAAAAAACAATATTCAAATTCAATTCAATGTTTTACTAGCATGCACTATACAATTATTAAACTGCAAAATACTGAAAGGCTGAAACCAAAATCTTATCAAGAACCTCAAAATCATTTGTCTTGGCCTAACCTCCATAAAATATCATAAACTAAACCTATATCTGAGGATACAATAATGTTTAGACTAGTCTCAAGTGATTAAACAATTTTTTTTTTGTACAAACACCCCCCCCAATTACATTTTAAAAATTTAACAGTTTAATCCCCAAAGCCCCTTTTCCCTTTTAAATGAAAAAGGTCATTTCCAAAAGGGCACAAGAAATTTTTTTTGACTGGTTAAACAAATAAAACCAAATATAAAATTCCTGAGAGGTCTTTCCCTTTTAAAACAGGCCCTAGAGGGCATTTCAAATTTCATTTAACATGGCTTCCATGTAAAATAAAATTTGGCCCAGGGAAAACATTTTGACGTAAAAAGCGGGTTTTTGGGTTCCCTGTAAAAAAAGGGGAGAAAAAAAAAACAGTGTTATTACAAAAATATAACTTCTTTGAAATATTCAATAAATTAATATTAATGCAAGATAGGTATGAAAATGCTTGACATTTAACAGATGCAAGACCTGTCTAGTTACAGGAAATACTGATATATATATATATATGAGCCGCGTCATGACAAAACCAACGTAATGCGTTTGCGACTAGCATGGATCCAGACCAGCCTGGGCATCCGCACAGTTTGATCAGGATCCATGCTGTTTGCTTACCAAAATCTCTAACAAGTAGAGAAACTGATAGCTAACAGCATGGATCCTGATCAGACTGCGCGGATGTGCAGGCTGGTCTGGATCCGTGCTGGTCGCAAATGTACTATGTTGGTTTTGTCATGACGCGGCTCATATGATAATTGCGCAAGAAACAGACATTAGAATTACATGTTTTAATTTTTCTTTTGAAGAATTTTTAAATATGAGTTTTCAGTTTCATTCTATAAATTGTACTTGCTACATGATAAAAGCATTTCATCATGCTATCATCAATTAAATTTATTTATGCTAAATCAAAATTGGCTAAATCTGTTTTCTGCTTGAATGATTTTAATGCAAACACAATGGTGCAAAACTACTGAAGGACATGTATTTCTGACAGAAGATAATATGTTTTAGTTCAGAGTATGTATATTCCTGAAATTGTTGCATGAGTGTATGGGTATACGGATTTGCTCAGCAGTCACTTTAAAGTTTTAAAGGGAATAAATCTATAGTAGAAGGTCTGTAATACAATAAATATAATTTGATAATATTTAGTATAAGACCTAAACACAAACCACAAAAACAATTATATATGTTGGCAAGTGTAAGATACTTGATCTCATTACATATATTACATTACATAAATTATATTTTTATAGCAGATGAAAAAATGTTATAATATTATCACATATCATATAAATGTTCATGCTAAAACCTTTAGATTTTTTTTTCAAGTAATATTTCTTTTAAAATTCCCCAAATGTTACATTTCTTTTGTTTTTATCAATATTTGAAAAACTTGTGAAAAATATGTCCATTGTAGACCAATACACTTTAAGGATTTAAATATCAAAATGGAAAAATTGAGTTACTATCAGTATAGACACATGTCACACTACATGGAAATAATGGTTCTATACTGGTGGCAAAGTCTAATCACCTTTCCAGCAGTTTAATCTTTTAATAGATTAATAGTTCATCTGTTGTACTTACTTATCTCTATAGGTTGAGGTGTACATATTTGTACTCTCTCAAAATCAACACACTGTATCGTCAATACATGTTTACCTACTGGAAACAAAAACATAGATAGTTTACAAACTGGAAACAAAAATAGTTTACTAACTGGAAACAAAAATAAATAGTTTACCAATTGGAATAAAAAAAAATCCACTTGATATTAAATTAAGGTGAGGATTGCATCCAAAATATATTAATGTATCATAGTTATGAGTCTTGGATAGAAAACCAGGAATCTTATGAGTTCACATAGGATCATAATTCAGTCAAAATCCATGTGAGTTATATGCTTTGGAAACTGGTGCCAAAACAGAAAAGATGATTTTGGCTAACCTTGGGGGTTACAAACTTTAAAGCAACACCAGGGGTCAAAACCAATTCACCTGCTGGACATTAGAAATGCATAGACTCCAATAATTTGAACCCATTTAGTTGCCTCTTACGATCACGTAGGGACTTCAATTCTCATGCCTCAACCCTTAAAGGCAGCCCCTTAGCCACAAGGGAAAGGATGCCTGATGAGTTGAAGATTCACACTATTATTTGAATAGCTGAGCTAAATAAAAAATATACAAGCTTAAATTTGGAGTTGGCAATAAGAATGTATCCCTATAACCAGAGGTTTTACTGTACCTGTATCTATTATAATGCCTGAGAATTTAGCAACAGAAGGGTCGGTTAATGAGTCTGACTGTAACATAACTTCTGTAACACCCCTGATCTGTACACCTGCAACCATAAAGTAGTTGTATAGATTTACAATAAAACAACAACAAAAATAGAGAAACAAAGTAAGTTAAACCCTTAACGTGCTGGCAGCAACAGATTATACCCATGCGACTAGTGCACACCATGATGAGCCCGCAAATCCATGCTGTCTGGTCATGGACTGCACTTTTTGCTGTTCATTCAGTACTTGTTTTGAAATTTTACCTTAAAATGGTGAATGGTTTTGTCCAGATTAAAAGATGGACAAGTTCATATAAGATCTTTGGCATAGTAAGGGTTAAATCATTGTTTTTTAAAGCAATGAACTTAAAGCTGTACATTTCCAAGTTCACAGAAAGCATCACATTGATGATAAACAGTTTTACATTTCTTAAACAAATAGAAATTATTTTAAATTATTTCCCTCATTAGGACGTGTACCTCATTAAGAGGTTTATATCTTTAAAATAAGAAGCCCCATATCAGTTTGCTAACTTAGAAAATATTAAAAAATATCATGAGGTTTGACTGTACTTTTATGTTTAAACAACAAAAGTTTTATAATTACCTTGACTAGAAACCAACTTCACTCTTGTTTTGACTCCTGGTGAAGACTTGATGCTGAAATCTGGAATTACCTCCCCTTCTTTAACAAAAGTGACAGGTGGCACTAACCATGACAGAGAGGCAGGATGAAATTCTGAAAAATAAAAGATTTAATAATTAGATGCATGTTATTTACATTGGATATTTTCTTTTGGTTATTTTGTTACTATTACGCTGGCATGATAGCTTATTCAAGGAAGTGCATGTATGCAACAAGCAGAGTGGGATTTGAATTTGCAATGATGAGGAAAAAATGTTCACAGTCATTAGCCTTTATTCAAATGAATTCAAAGCTGTAAAAATCTATTTTTAGCATTAGTAACCTTGACTTTGACCTCAATGACCCCCAAACTGTAAAACCAACCAAGGTATCTACCTACCAAATATGGAAGTTATCGGTCAATGAATGAAATTTCTTGGAGAAAATGTATGAAAAGTGTGACATAATTTTGGATGGACAAAGGCATAAAAAATGATAATATACATGTAGTTACCTTTAGGTCTGTCTCTCTCTAGAGATTTAAGAATAATGTTTCTATCATCTTTGTCACTAACCGCCTCTTTTAATGAGTCATCATCTATCAGTAAAAACTTCTTGTATGTGTTGAAACCCTAAAATAAACAACAACAACAATGATTAATTTAGCCAAAAATCCAGCTAAAATCTTTTCAGTGTGTCTGACATAAAAAAATTTAAATACTGATATGTAATCATATACAATATATTTTGTTTTGTGCACTAAACAGTGAGTTATATTCTTATAAGTATTGAAATCCTAAAAAAAACAAACAACAACAACATTACATTTAGCTGAATTTGACATCAAGAAATTAAAATACTGACAATGCAAAAACATTTTTTCTTTGTTTTATGAGCTAATTAAGAGAGTGGTCACAAAAAAGTTGCGCAAATTTCCAGTAATTTTTATGTGGACGTCTTTTTAGTGTGACTTAATTTTTCACTTTTTTATAAGCTACTTCATCGCACTTTATCATAAGACAAAAGTATGATGTTTTTGCTTTCAAAAAATGTTTTCTTGTTGAATTAGCTAATATTGTCTATATTCACCAGCGACACAATGTCGTCTGCATAATGATCCATATCGTTCTCCTTCAACAGTTGTCTGATTCTGTCGTCTGCTCCATAGAAACGTATACCGTGAAAACATATACATTTCCCTCCGTGGTTGTCTACCAACAGTAAACGCCAGTAACGTGAACGAGCCGTGAAGTCTGTGAATGTCTGAGGAACTCCTGCATTGACAATAGTGTACGTAAAGAATTCAACAAATAAACAAAAATGCAAATTAATTTTACAACAAACATGTGACCTCTTAACATTTAAGCATATTTCAAAAAAATAAATTGTTCCCTTAATTTCAGAAACCAAAATATGAAAAAAAAATCAAAAAAATCAATATCATGTAAAGTATGGTCAACAAATAAAAACAATTAACAATTATCCTGTAAAAGTTTCAATTCTCAATGTATTACAGCCCTATCTGCTTTTTCTTTTTTTCAACAGACACAATGATATCTATGCTTCTATCTTAACCCTTTCCCTGCTGAATTTATGCCATATGCTTGTCTTCCTTTGAATTGGATAAATCATTTAGTAGTGAATGGAATTTCAAAATCAATAAACATAAACTGAGTTGGTAATAGTATAAAGTCCAGGCATATGGCCATGATGTGCAGGCAGGCCTGGCTTTCTACTAGTAGCATTGGTATTTATTATCCTCACTTACCACTAAAAAAAACTTAAATAGACTTATCCATATTTAAATAGGAATAAACCCATTGATCTGTTTTAGGGAAAATTTCAAAATAAATACTGAATGAATAGCTAACAGTGAATAGCTAACATGATCAGATTGTGCTGGCTGACCTTAGTCTGCACTGGTCAAATGGGTAGATTCAGTTGCTGACCAGCAGGATAATTCGTAAGCATAATATGAGGTGTAATCCAGCTATTTATAGTTTCTCTCTTCAAAAATACTGCAATTTCTTGCATTAAACATAAATAATAAGTTCACTCTATAACACAATTTTTAAAATAATATCTCATGCATTACAACCTATGGTCATATTCATATAATACAGAAGACAAACCTGGTTTTGACAAGGATGTGCTGCCTATTTTTATACAGGCACATGGAACCACAGTAGACCAAGGCCCTCTGAAATGAGAAAACACAATGTTTACAGTAAATGATATTTATACTGAAATTGCTTTTTTTTTTTTTTTTTTTCTTTTCAAAAAATTTAGATCATAATTTCAAGAACAAACTAAATCTTAGACCTGCTGTCCCCATAAAAGCTTCTGATTAGTTTTAAATGGTCAAATTTTAGAGATATATTATAAAAAATTGAAACTGTCTTAACCAGTTGACCTATATTCCATCCTTTAATAATCATGTAATGAGCTACTGATCTCAAAAGATATTTTGCCAAGAAATAATTTGATCTAGAATAAACTTGTTTTATATACAGCATAAGAAATTTATAATGTATTGTTTAAACTAGCAATGTGTCCATAGGACACGGATGCCCCCATAATCCACTGTTTTGTCAGCATATGGATAGACACTGTGACAGTTGCATGGATGGACAAGGGCAAATCTAAGAAGTAAGGACATAAAAATTACAATTCACTTACTCTAGTGTTCTACCTTTCTGAAGCTCAAAAGCTCTAACCATTTGTGGGCTATCCCTGTAAAAGAGACACATCGTGACTTGTAACAAATTGTTAAGTATTTTGTAATTTTTGTTCATTTTTTTAACAATAGATTAAAACAGGAATGCCAACTTAATGCTCCAGAAAATATTAACTATTACTTCTGATTAAAATTCATTTTGAAGCTAATTTTTAAATTTGAAATAAAAAACAATAGAAAAAACCTAATTTTGTATAAAGAAAAATTCAACATTTTATAAAAACTGCATGCCTCCAAGTTTATGCCAACTATAACTGATTTTCAATGTTTATTCTCTCTTTAGCAAATTATATCAAAGTCAAGGCCGTGTTTTGAATATTTTGACACATTTTATTAGTTTATGTTAATTATATTACCTTTTTACCTAATACAACATGTACCTATACCTTTATTTGACTTAATTTGTTCACATAACAATATTTTAATATTCAAAACCCTTTCTCAATTATTATAAGGATTATCTAACTAAACTGGAGACATGCTGCTTTTGAAAAAAAAAAACATAGACAATATAAAACACCCTCTTAAAGAAAGTCTAAATGTTCAACTGGCAGATAAGGAAATAAAAGGCAGAAATAAATACATGTTAGAGAAATAAGAATAAGATGAACTTTTCAAACAATCAAATTAAAGTTCCCTTCCAGCATTATGCCTGATATGTAAAACCCAGTTAGAAAAATCCCTTAAATTTGAATGGGCTGTTGTGTTTGACCAAATTCAAAACTTGGAAAATCCATTACAATAATTCAGCAGGTTAAGGTTTAAAATCCCTGGATGGATCTAAATTATACAAAATACTAGAAAATAATCAGTTGTTTATATAAGTGTAGCTACACACATTTATCAAACTATTGAGCCATTATATAGATTGGTTATAATTGCAGACACAAATGTTTAAGCAAAGGCATTAAATATAAAATACACATACACAAAAATATAGGTACTGAAAATAGGTGCTCCAAAATATTGCTTTGACTAGGCTTTAATAATTACCTTACAATGAAAGAAATGAGGGAAATCTATATTTAGTGTAAATGACCTTGACCCAACCACTTTGAAACCCCATCCAAGGATAGATGTCTATGGATATGCACCAACACATAAAATATCTAAGACCTCACTCAATAAATGAAGGTACTATAAGAAATAATAAGTACAGCAGGATGGAAATTTTTGACTACTTCATGCTACTCAAAAAAAATAAATGAGGTGGATAAAAAGTAAAGTTTGAAAAGCACAAAAGACAGCAGATAATCCATGGATATTTAAGATAAATGTATTAATTTCAGTAATAAGGTTTTGAAATTTGAGATCATGGCACTACCAACACACCATACTTTTAGCTCAGATGCAATAACTAACAGTTTTTGAGGCATTTGTCCAAAGTAATAAAGAAATAAAAAGAACACTATACAGAGCAAAATATAGAGGACAGGCAATCCATTAAAAGAGATGACAGTTATATTGGTACTTAAGATCATGGCACTAACAATCCACCATACTTTTTGCAAAGACAAAAAACCATATTTTTTGTGCGCTAAAACTGCTTTCTTTTACAAGACAAAATAATCATTATACAGAGTAAGAAAGACAGAAACAGATCATAGATAAATAGTTATTCCAGTGATGGTATTTGAAGTAATGGCGATACCAACCCACCATACTTTTTGCAGACACAAAATCATAAATTTTTTTGGCTGAAAATATTTTAAGAAAAAAAAAAACAACAAACAAACAAAATCATATTATAGAGTGAAAAAAAGGCTCAACAGACCATCCATATTAAATTTTAGTGATGGTATTTGAAGTGATGTAATGGCACATACAACCCACCAATAATTTTGCAAAGACGTACACAAAACAAATTTTTTTTTAGCTGAAAATATTTTAAGAAAAAAAAAAAACAACAACAAAAAACAAACAATATCATTGTACAGAGTGAAACAAGAGGGACATGATGGCCCTGAGGTCGCTCACCTGTATTTAAGCCCCCGGAGCGGGGCTAGTTTAAACCCCAGGGCTTTTATTTGAACAAACTTGGAAGACACTCATTAGAAGATGTTTCATGATGTTATGTTTTTACTACACACATATAATGAAAAACAATGACCTCCCCCCCCCCCCTTTGGCAGGGCCAATTTTAACCCAAGGGCTTTTATTTGAACAAACTTGGTAGACACCCACAAAAAGATGTTTTCTGCAATCTAACCTCTAGCTCACTGGGATTTTTAAAAGAAGATTTTTTAAGTTTTTACCATACACATATAGTTAAAAACAATGACACCTCTGTAGCCCTAGGGCTACTATTTGAACAAACTTTGTAGACACTTACTAGAAGATGTTTCATGCTTAATATCTAAACTCTAGCTATTTGGGTTTTTTCAAAGAAGATTTTTAAGTTTTTGCCATACACATATAAGGAAAATCAATGACCCCCAGGGCGGGGCCAATTTTGACCCCAGGGCTTTTATTTGAACAAACTTTGTAGACACTCACTAGAAGATGTTTCATGCTTAATATCTAAACTCTAGCTATTTGGGTTTTTTCAAAGAAGATTTTTTAAGTTTTTGCTATACACATATAAGGAAAATCAATGACCCCCGGGGCCGGGCCAATTTTGACCCCAGGGCTTTTACTTGAACAAACTTTGTAGACACCCATTAGCACATGTTTAATGCTAAATATCTTAGCTCTAGCTCTTTGGGTTCTTTAAAAGAAGATTTTTTAAGTTTTTACTATATGCATATAGGGAAAATCAATGACCCCCTGGGGCGGGGCCAATTTTGACCCCAGGGCTTTTATTTGAACAAACTTGGTAGACACTTATTAGAAGATGTTTCATGCTAAATATCTTAGCTCTAGCTCTATGGGTTCTTTAAAAGAAGATTTTTTAAGTTTTTACTATATGCATATAGGGAAAATCAATGACCCCCGGGGCGGGGCCAATTTTGACCCCAGGGCTTTTATTTGAACAAACTTTGTAGACACCCATTAGAACATGTTTCATGCTAAATATCTTAGCTCTAGCTCTTTGGGTTCTTTAAAAGAAGATTTTTTAAGTTTTTACTATATGCATATAGGGAAAATCAATGACCCCCTGGGGCGGGGCCAATTTTGACCCCAGGGCTTTTATTTGAACAAACTTGGTAGACACTTATTAGAAGATGTTTCATGCTAAATATCTTAGCTCTAGCTCTATGGGTTCTTTAAAAGAAGATTTTTTAAGTTTTTACTATATGCATATAGGGAAAATCAATGACCCCCTGGGGCGGGGCCAATTTTGACCCCAGGGCTTTTATTTGAACAAACTTGGTAGACACTTACTAGAAGATGTTTCATGCTAAATATCTTAGCTCTAGCTCCATGGGTTCTTTAAAAGAAGAATTTTTAAGTTTTTACTATATGTATATAGGGAAAATCAATGACCCCCTGGGGCGGGGCCAATTTTGACCCCAGGGCTTTTATTTGAACAAACTTGGTAGACACTTACTAGAAGATGTTTCATGCCAAATATCTAAGCTCTAGCTCTTTGGGTTTTTTAAAAGAAGATATTTAAAGTTTTTTCTTTCGGTTGCCATGGCAACCAGAGTTCTGCATGGAATTAAATTCTTTGAACAATTTTTAAAGGTGACCACCAAAGGAACATTCCTGTGAAGTTTGGATGAAATTGGCTTAGTGGTTTATGAGGAGATGTCATTTGAAGCAAAAGTTTACGGACGCCAGACGGACGCCGGACGAAAAGCGATCACAAAAGCTCACCCTGTCACTTTGTGACAGGTGAGCTAAAAAAGACTAGACAGACCATCCATAAATAGTGATTCCAGTGATGGTATGCTGGTATTTGAGATCAAGTACTGTCCATGCATGGTGAACTTCTGCAGCTATCCAACAACTAGTCAAGTCATCTAGCAAGGAGAGGGGAAAAACATCAAGGGTTATATAACTACACAACATGCCATATAACTGGGTATTAGATAACAGAAAATATAAACAAAAATACTAGAACATATATATTTACATACAGTCTAACTTGCCCATGCGACCACGTGTATTAAGCGACTTTTGTCTTAAACGACCACTTTAAATTCCCCCCGATTATTTTCTCTCTATATCTTTAATGTATTAAGCGACTTTTGCTCAACGCGACCAGCGACCGCTAATTAGTCACCTAAATGAGATCAATCTTTTCATTAAACGACCACTTTTACCTGTCAAGTAATTTCGTTTTTAGAGAACGCTGCCTCGTAAAGTAACAAGTGTCAAAAATCAAACGCAACAAATAAACGTGTGAAAAACTCTATTTCCCAAACCGTTTTAGCGTATGCAAATGAAGTTAAGTATATGCGTGACGTGTATTATCCAATTATATCGAATAAACAACGCAACGCTCCGCCCCTACTGAGATGGTGTATACGCTTCGCTTGTTGACATTTAGACTGCATTTAATTGACCTTGAACTTGATCAGCAATTAAATTAATCGTAACAATTAGATGTAGTTTGTTTATTTCAAACGAAAAAATGCACAACAGAAAGTATCTTCACTAATAGGGTTTCCGTGTTGGAGACAAGGAAAAACAACGGATAAGTTAAAAAATTCTGGAAAAAATGTCAAACATGTACGTAATGGATCAAAACTGTTTTGTCAATAAATATCAGAGTTATTTTTACATAAGCATCCATTTAGATTATCGGAGCGTACTAATTATTCAAAATTTATTCAAAAATGAAGTTGAAAAACATTCCCACCGCATTAGAAAGATGTCATGTATAAATTTTGACTTTAATATCATGTTTTGTCTTAAGAGACCGTTTCATTAAGCGACCGTTTTGGGTGTTTCCCTTGCGCGGTCGCTTAATACAAGTTTGACTGTATATAATGCATGACAGCTTCAAATGTGATTTTTTCCCCTAGTTTTTGTTATGATGTTTTTGTGATGCCCAGCACAAGCACTGCTTAACCTTCAGCCTGCTGGGGTCAACTGATTCTACACCTATGCAAGCCAATCAGTGCCATCTGACCATGATCTGCACTCTTTGCTATTCAGTCAGTATATATTTTGAAATTTTCCCCTTTAAATAATAAACAATTTTGTCCAGATTGAAAAATAGACAAGTCTAGCCATTTTGATATTTTAAGCATAGTCAGGTCTAATTTTTTATAATCTGATCAGTGAAGTCAGAATGTTTTTGTATTGATATACTGTATTGTAGTATTTATAATACTGCACATTTATAAAATCCCTTTTCATTCATATAAACTATATTTACAGTTGCTGCGAAATTATGAACTCATTTCTAGTTTTCCTCTTAAAAATGAAGTTTGCTAAATTATAAATTTGTTCTCAAGATTCTTGACTGGTTATATGGCCATACATAAACACTTGTTTGCAATATAACTCAAGCCGTTATACTAACAGCCAATTACATTAGGCCATATAACCTGTCAAAAATCTTTGTAACTAATAATGTAATGAGTAGAGCAACAATAGCAACAACCATCTAAATTTCCAGAAAAATATGTTAAAAAAATTTCTACGGTCAGTAACTGAGAATCAGGAAATCAAATATAATGAAGCTGTCAAACATGTGACTGTTTGGTTAACATGAAGAACAATTTAAACAAAGAAATAATTATAGCTAACAAAACAAAAAAGTTTTCAATACTACTGCAAATTCATTTGATTTCTTGGGCATGAAGTGTCGTGGTTTTGCCACAAAAGACATTTTTGTGGCTTCTTAAATTTGTGGAATGTCTATTTTTTCTAAGAAATAGAAATAATGTAATGCTTATTCAGCTGATGAAATGAAGTTTGTTGGATCTAAAATTTATGAATTGACCTATCCACAAAAACCATGAAAATAAGTGCCTCATGAAAATATAATGAGTTTGCAATAAATACTTTAATACTAACAAACAGATATTATCAACACTAAGAGAGATTTACTACAAGAACAAAATGCAACTTTTATATACTTTATCTATATGAGACTAGTTAATTTCATTACAAAATTGTATATTCTATTGCAATGTAATTGTTGTAATATTTACTCAACTATTCTAAGTAAAAGATAATTGTTTTGAAATTTCTGTATCATTCCCATATCAAAATTTAATGTAAGTTACAGTTACTTTAATTTTCAAAAATCCTTAACCTGGGATTCAGGGGTTGATATTTTTTTTGCTTATTCATAACATACGCACTACATGTATTTCTTACTTGTTTATGTGCACATCACAGTTTTTGATAGTGGTTGTCGAACAATATCATAAAAAAAATCCACAGACTGGAATCAAGGCTAAAAAAGCCTACAGTTTTGATTTTAAAACTAAGAATAAACTTAAATGTGTGAAATATCTCATCTGTATTATTTAAACAAACTTATTGACAGAAGTCTGTTATAGCAGCAGCTTCACAGTTATTAATAACTATAAGCCATTAATACAATCAATGCAAAATTATTAGACATCTGTTTATTTTAATTCAGCAGAATAAATGTACCCACAATCTTACATACAATTTGTAGATAAATTTCATGCCAGAAAATGAAGACAAAAAACAACTACAACAATAATGTTAAGTAAAGTTGATACATTAAAGTGAGATTATGCCCATCTAAAGGTATATAGTGAAAGAACAGGTGAAAGTCAAAATAGGTTTATATTTTACCACAGTTCCTTTCAATTTTATAATTTATTTCGCATAAATAATAAATAACTCGCATGGCCAAAGAAAATTTCTGTAAAAACCCATTGGAATTTACCTGCAACATTAGATTTTAAAGAAGAGTGGGGCAGAATTTTTACATTTTAGGCAGATTTAATTTTTTTATCCTAAACATTTTCCAATATCAACTGTTGGTCAATAACTATTATAACAGACATTTTTTTAAACATACAATCAATTCAGCCCAAACTGACACTGAAAAAAGAGCAAAATGTCACTTTAAATCAGATCAAAATACAAACAAGGAACATGCATGATATATAACCAAGCTTACCGTTAAGAATGTTCGTGTTTGGAGCATTTGGGGTACAGCTATTACAATATTCCAGGGTGTTCCGTGTCCAGGATGTATCATTTGGCAACAAAGGAAAATCTAAACAAGACATATTTCAAAATATTTGACTTATTAACAGTGAACTTTTGTCAAAAATAAATCAAGTTTAATATAGTCTGTAGTTAAGTGGAGCGTAAAAATGATGTATAAGTATATATACAGGTATATCTATCTATATGGGAAGAAGGTAATAAGTGATGATTGATAAATGGTTCAGTGACTTCATGTACATAATACATGTAGTACATTTATAACTCAACAATCATATTTTATCATGTATTAATCTATGATGATAATTTGGATGTGAAATGAACAGTTTTTCAAGCCTAGCCTCGAGGTTATAAATATTTTTTTCGAGATTTGTCTCACATCTTGTAAGTACCCATTCTATGCAAGTCTCTGACCAATCAAATACCTGAGATTTCAATTTGAGCTTGGAAAATTTCTTTTAGCCTTGGACAAAAATTTGTGAATGAGCAACAAATCTGTGGTGAAATGTAGTAAATTTTGAAAATCTGACGTGAAACTATCATATCATTAAAACATAAAAGGTCACAATTTTAATATGTCCAATACAGTACTCATCCTGTCGTATGCTGCATTAAAGTATTCCAGAGGTTCATGTATTTTGTGTCCAAGTATAAAAACTCCTATCTTGCAGAATAAAGATTTTATGGTCAAAGTGGAATTTGCTATGGTATATTTTATATTCTGTACCTTTAATTCCTTGTATTGAAATGCCTCTTGATAGAATCTTCAGAAATCTAGGACTTTCTGTGGCGCCTGACTTTTTGTATTCTAGAAAAAAATCAACAACAACAATATAATCTATGGTGATATAAAAAGCTTATCTTGTTCAAGATCATACACTTAAAATTTCTTCATTTCAAATTCAAGTACATAATATTAAATATAAAGAAATTTGATTTGGCAGAGAAAAGATGCATGTAAAGTTTTCTTAAGGTTATGGTTATAAAGTTAGGGAAATATAGTGAACAATCAATGAAATATGGCCAAATAACCGGTCAAATCTCAAATTTAACTAGAGGATGCTTTTGTAAAAAAGCGCATGTCTCCCCCACTGCTGAGAATAACTGTGAATGGAAACAGGAATGGAAATGGAGATAAGATAATGTAAATACCCGGTAGTCACTTCAATGAAGGCTGTCTATGGATGGTTTCTATTGTTAGGGTTGTATGAGAAGATGCTTCCTAAACTGTTTGTTTTTAACCAGGTATTCAATTTTGAAAATCCTGGTTATTCAATCAGCGTATGGCAGGCGGGCGTCAAACGAAATTGCACTTGATGGTCATATCATATATAGTTTCACAAATGAAATTAAATGAAATTGTGTCTGCTCCATAATTCTTCAAACCTTTAAAGGATTTTGATGATACTTGAAACAAACGTAAACAAGAGGGATCATCTGCTCAATAAGACCAATCATCCTATGAAGTTTGAGGGTTGTAGGTCTAAAGGAACTCTAGTTATCATCCGGAAAGGAGAAATTAACCAACGGTCGCTGTGACCTTGACCTTTGACCTACTGACCATTAAAACAATAGGGATCATTTGATTAATAAGACCAATCATCCTATGAAGTTTGAGGGTTGTAGGTCAAAAGGAACTCTAGTTATCATCCGGAAATGAGAAATTGACCAACGGTCACTGTGACCTTGACCTTTGACCTACTGACCCCAAAAACAATAGGATCATCTGCTCTATAAGACCAATCATCCTATGAAGTTTGAGGCTGTAGGTCAAAAGGAACTCTAGTTATCATCCGGAAACGAGAAAATTGACCAACGGTCACTGTGACCTTGACCTTTGAACTACTGACCCCAAAAACAATAGGGATCATCTGCTCAATAAGACCAATCATCCTATGAAGTTTGAGGTCTGTAGGTCTAAAGGAACTCTAGTTATCATCCGGAAACGAGAAATTGACCAACGGTCAGTGTGGCCTTGACCTTTGACCTACTGACCCCAAAAACAATAGGGATCATCAGCTCTATAAGACCAATCATCCTATGAAGTTTGAGGGCTGTAGGTCAAAAGGAACTCTAGTTATCATCCGGAAACGAGAAATTGACCAACGGTCACTGTGACCTTGTCCTTTGAACTACTGACCCCAAAAACAATAGGGATCATCTGCTCAATAAGACCATTCATCCTATGAAGTTTGAGAGCTGTAGGTCAAAAGGAACTCTAGTTATCGTCCGGAAACGAAGAATGGACGGACGGACTGACGGACGGACGGACGGACAGGGCAAAAACAATATGTCTCCCCCCGAGGTGGGGGAGACATAATAATAGTTTTATTATACCGCTTAACTGTTTTATTTAGTTAAAAAAAAGGACTATCAATAAGTTTGCAACAGCAATGTACATGTACGTTCATAATATATGTTTTAACATCTTTATTCTCCAATGAAAATTTATATAAAATATAAAATACAATTGAATGTGCAGTACAAAATTATATTAAAACAAACACAAAATGCTAAATTTAGATATAAATATTAAAATTATTATCTTGCTTGTACCAAAATCAAGCATTATAAATAAAAAGTATTTAAATTAATGGAAATTTTTTTGAATACACTGGACATTATTCATGGACTTCAGCCAAATTCATACTAAAATAAAACAAGATATGTTTGTAAACCATGTATGCCCCCTATCGGCAGCCAATTAGTCATGTGATCAGGTTATTATGCATGACTTCTGACCTAGTGAACAAAAAATCAATAAGAGTTATCTACTGGTCATGACTAGTCACAAGGTAATAATTATTATGATCGCATAGCAGCAATTTGAGTAACAAATTTTACCAAATAATATATGCATAAATTTTACTAATCATGTAGGCCTCATTAATGACAGCCAATTTGTTATATTACATAAGACCTTCAAATGTGTATACAAAAAGCATTTTTAGTTTAATATAAAAATATCAACCAAGGCAACTTGAGTTGTTGAGTTATTGGCAGAAACCATCATTAAGTACAAAGTCAATATGACACTGACTACCCCTTGATCCCAAAATCAATAGGGGTCATCTACTGGCCAAGACCAATGCACCTACAAAGTTTGAGGGCCAGCAGCTATGGGCTTGTAAAGTTATTGATCGGAAACCGTTTTCACCTACAAGGTTAATATGACCTTGACCTTTGACTCCTTGATCCCAAAATCAATAAGGGTCATCTTATTGTCAAGTCTAATGCATCTACGAAGTTTGGGGGCCAAAAGCTCATGGGTTGTCAAGTTAATGATTGTCAACCGTTTTTACCAACAAGATAAATATGACCTTGACCTTTGAGCCCTTGACCCCAAAATCAATAGGGGTCATCTGCTGGTCATGAACAATCATCATACCAAGTTTAAAGGTCCTAGCCCTAAGCGTTCTTAAGTTATTGATCCGAAACCGTTTTTACATACAGGTCAATGTGACCTTGACCTTTGACCCCTTGACCCCAAAATCAATAGGGGTCATCTGCTGGTCATGACCAATCATCATACTAAGTTTGAAGTTCCTAGGCCTAAGTGTTCTTTAGTTATTGATCGGAAACTGTTTTTACCTACAAGGTCAATGTGACCTTGACCTTTGACCCCTTGACATGACCAATCATCATACCAGGTTTGAAGTTCCTAGGCCTAAGCGTTCTTTATGTATTGATCAGAAACCATTTATACCTTCAAGGTCAATGTGACCTTGACCTTTGAGCCTTGACCCCAAAATCAATAGGGGTCATCTGCTGGTCATGACCAATCATCATACCAAGTTTGAAGTTCCTAGACCTAAGCGTTCTTTAGTTATTGATTGGAAAACGTTTTTACCTACAAGGTCAATGTGACCTTGACCTTTGACCCCAAAATCAATAGGGGTCATCTGCTGGTCATGACCAATCATCATACCAAGTTTGAAGTTCCTAGGCCTAAGCGTTCTTTAGTTATTGATCAGAAACCGTTTTTTACCTACAAGGTCAATGTGACCTTGACCTTTAACCCCTTGACCCCAAAATCAATAGGAGTCATCTGCTGGTCATGACCAATCATCATACCAAGTTTGAAGTTTCTAGGCCTAAGCGTTCTTTAGTTATTGATCGGAAACAGATTTACCTTCAAGGTCAATGTGACCTTGACCTTTGACCCCTTGACCACAAAATCAAAAGGGGTCATCTGCTGGTCATGACCAATCATCATACCAAGTTTGAAGTTCCTAGGCCTAAGCGTTCTTTAGTTATTGATCGGAAACCGTTTTTACTTACAAGGTCAATGTGACCTTCACCTTTGACCCCTTGACCCCAAAATCAATTGAGGTCATTTACTGGTCATTACCAATCATCATACCAAGTTTGAAGTTCCTAGGCCTAAGCATTCTTTAGTTATCACTCAGAAACCAATTGGTCTACGGACAGACAGACAAATGCAAAGCAATATCCCCCCCTCTTCTTTGAAGTGGGGGCATAATTAATAAAATATGTACATTAACAGATACAAGATAACAAACTTACCTTCAAACATTTCTTCAAATGTTTCAACCATAGACTGTGGCAGTTTCTGAGATTTGAGCAGACTTTCAGGTGACTGGCAAAGAAAACAAGACAACCATTAAAAACACAAATCATGTGGATTTTCTTCCAAAAATCAAAACAGAGCATTGGTGGAATTGGTAAAAAAAGATTCCAAATGACCATATTTGCATTAATTAAAGAACAAAATACAAAGTGTAGTACTTTGCTTACATTTTGCTTTACTTTGTTTACATTTTGCTTCTTAAGTATGAAAAATAACACATTCAGCACTAGGCCTACATTTTTCAAGTGTTAAGCATCTAACATTTTCTAAAACCATTATTTAAACATTATAAATCTCATGTGTACTCTTTCTAAAGAAGGAAAACATTTATCAGTTTCTGAGGCATATTGTGCCTTTAAAATATTAGATTTCAATATCAAAATGCTAAAATTGAGCAACTAACAGTATTGAATCTGGCAGGCCTTACTTTATTATTAAAGATTCATGTTGTTAGCATTGGTAGAGTTTATGAAATACAGTATATATATGTGCCGTGCCATGACAAAACCAACATAATGGGTTTGCGACCAGCATGGATCCAGACCAGCCTGCGCATCCGCGCAGTCTGATCAGGATCCATGCTGTTTGCTTACAGACCCTATAACAAGTAAAGAAACTAATAGCGAACAGCATGGATCCTGATCAGACTGCGCGGATGCGCAGGCTGGTCTGGATCCATGCTGGTCGCAAACCCATTATGTTGGTTTTGTGGTGACGTGCCTCATATACATTATTATTATGAACACATACCTCTGATTTACTATTTTTAACATCTGTTTTAGCACCATACTTTAACAATGTTTCCACAACAGGAATCCTGGAAGTGTAGGAAAAAAAGGAAGATTATTTCAGCAACCTGATAACAAAAACCTCTTATCCTTGATAGTTAACTCACAGCATATCATCGCCTTTTGCCTATATGTCATACTTACATGATGCATGATGATATAGGGCAATCAAAAGCATACCTTAATCAGGAACTGGTGATAATGATTTTTCAAAGCAAGGGTTGTACAAAGCTGTGCATTGCAGAAAAGGATCCAATTTGATAAAAATCCACAGGTTGAAAAAATTCAAGCTGCAGATCAAGGTTCCCGTAAAAATGACCATATTATACATAGAAAAATTACACGAAAAGGTATATAACAGGTAGACTTACTATGGTAAAAGTTTTCTGAGGGGTATGTAAAACAACTGAGATATCTTAACGGAAGTCACCACAGACTTTTCTTTCCTAGGAATTAAAGGTAACATTTCTCATGGTTACGGGTGTCTAAACAATGTTCAGAAAATAAACATGTTAATCTCTCAATAATACACAACATGGGATGACATTTAATGTACAAAAACAAACAATAATACCTCACAAATCTAACAGCTTCCATTAATGCAGTTGTGTCCCTGTCTTGGTCAAGTGCATTAGGGTCGTACCCATAATCCAACATCATTTCTACCACATCTTTGTAGCCCCTTATCGAGGCCTCAATCATGGCTAATGTGTTTGAACGTGTAGATTTTCTTTTGCACTCCTCCAGATTCTGATCATGATCCAATAAAACTGATACTGCATCTGTTGTAGGTATATATGGATAATATATACAGGATCTTTCATAAATTGTCATATTGCTAAACTAATTTATATTAACCTTTATCACACTAAATATCATTATACAGACTTGTCCATCTTTTGATCTGGACCAAACCATTGATCATTTTTAGGGAAAATTTGAAATATATGCTGGCCCAAAAACTAAAAGTGCAGACCTTGATCAGACAGCATGAATGTTCCAGCTGATCTTGGTCTGCACTAGACACATGGATAGAATTTGTTGCCACTTCAGACTAAGACTTAATAACATTGTAGCTTCAAGCAGTCATTGGTTGAAAGCCATAAAATGAAATCTACAGAATTGAGAAAAACCAACATGTAAAAAAAGGAGGTGACTGACCAACAATTTATAAAATATGTAGAATTCTCTTGAAGCCTCTGAATTATGATTAGAATCTCCTACAGTTTTCTGAAATGTTGATAACTTATTTTGTAGCCTTCTGAAATCAGAACTGATAAAATGCACGCTTATGAAGTTGGTCTAAGATCTTTATGAAGTACCTAAACAACCACATAACATAATAAGTGATTATTTGTTTTTTTTATAATTTAGACAGTACAACAAATCTGATATCAAAACAAATACAGACAGCATGGTTGTAAAATGATTTTGTACCAATACTGATCTGAACTTACTTTATCTTTAAATAACTACAGCTTTCTAATTCTCCCTAAAAATCAGTTGATAAAGCAATAGAGGACAAATAATGGTAAGCATAATAAGCAAACTGCACTGAACCAATTTTTTATAGCAGTACATTAGGGTAACTGTTTAGCGGAAACTTGGCAGAGCCTTGTTTCAACCATTAACAGTTACCCTCAAGCTAGATATCCTGGTCTGTACCTGCAGCCAGTGTAAGATCATTATACTCTACTGAGGTACTGTTTTTTAGAAGAATTTTCTGAATAAAGAAAGGGCTATATACTGGATAAAGTAAGTATATTGAATCACCTGTTTTATTAAACATGGCTGCTATATCTAATGGTGTCTTCCCATCTTTGTTAAACAACATATGATCTGCATCTTTCTGTAATATATGTAAGATGATGATACAAATTAAATCTATGACAATGCATCAGGTTTGTTCAAAAATATAAACAATGATCAATATATCATTGTCATACTGACAATAATTTCTGTGACTTTAAAACCCTTGGTTTGAAAAAATGTACAATTTGGTAAGGAAGGTACACCATTGACATCCTGAAGCCTGGAGTAAATATGATATCAACCATTATATATCAAAGTCAATACCGTTTTTGCTTGTTATTATTGAGAAAAATATAGAAAGAGATAATAAAAACAAGACAAACTGTATCTTTTATAACTATACACAACACCCTTTGACTGTCCAAGGTCAATTAAGCAACATACAGACCGACCCTTCAAGTAGATAGTCAGTCATACCAGCATACACATCAATGCTCCCAAGATCCAACATTATTGAATGTTAAATTTTAATATTTAAACCCCCTAAACAGCAAATGGCGAGTTCCAAATTTAGAGCAGGGCAAGTCCATTATTGAAATTCATCAGAGTAAGGGTTGAAATATTCTTGAATATAAAGGAAGTTTTATCTGATATTATATTAAGTTCAACTGACTTCCTTATAAAGTATTTATTTGAAATAATAATGAATAAAAGAAATATAAGGAAATTTACTATCATAAATTCAATGTAGAATTTGCGTGGTTGTGACTAACCCAATTTGTAATATAACTCTTGTTATTTATCTTTCAAGTGGCAATGGTCTAGATTCTAGATTATGTATTATATGTGAATGTTTGAGCATAATATGTACTATACTCACCTGTTAAAGTTTGAGCAGTACGTGTACTCTCCTTTCCTAAACAAGTTTGAGCATTATGTGTTCTCTACTTTCCTGTAAAAATTTGAGCATTATGTGTACTCTACAAACTTGTAAAAGATTGAGCATTATTATGTACACTATACTCACCTGTAAAAGTTTGAGCAATATGTGTACTCTACTCACCTGTAAAGTTTGATCTTTATGTGTGCTCTACTTACTTGTAAAAGCTTGAGCATTATGTGTATTCTACTTACTTGTGAAAGTTTGATCTTTATGTGTACTCTACTCACCTATAAAAATTTGATCTTTATGTGTACTTTACTCACCTGTAAAAGTTTTATCTTTATGTGTACTCTATTCACCTGTAAAAGTTTGATCTTTATGTGTAGTCTACTCACCTGTAAAAGTTTTATCTTTATGTGTACTTTATTCACCTGTAAAAATTTGATCTTTATATGTACTCTATTCACCTGTAAAAGTTTGATCTTTATGTGTAGTCTACTCACCTGTAAAAGTTTTATCTTTATGTGTACTTTATTCACCTGTAAAAGTTTGATCTTTATGTGTACTCTATTCACCTGTAAAAGTTTGATCTTTATGTGTAGTCTACTCACCTGTAAAAGTTTGATCTTTAGGTGTACTCTACTCACCTGTAAAAGTTTGCTCTTTATGTGTACTCTACTTACCTGTAAAAGTTTAATATTTATGCTTTCTCCGCTCAACTGTAAAAGTTTGATCTTTATGTTTTCTCCACTCAACTGTAAAAGTTTGATCTTTATGTGTAGTTTTCTCACCTGTAAAAGTTGATCTTTATGTGTACTCTACTCACCTGGAAAAGTGTGATCTTTATGTACACTCTACTCACCTGTAAAAGTTTAATCTTTATACAGTATGTATTCAACTTACCTGTAAAAGTTTGAGCATAATGTGTACTCTACTCTCATAGGTTGCCTGGCAGGCTATATGTAATGCCGTGTTCTCATCACTATTCTGTATGTTTACCTGAATAACACAATACACAACACGATAAAGAAGTTTCCCTTTAGGTTTATTCAGAAAATATTTAAAATTGTAAAACAATGTCAAGTGAATAAATGAGGTAATTAAGTAGCATATATGTATAACATTACATTAAATTATATTAAATGCCAAATATGTACATTGTATAAAATTGCCTGCAACTTTGTATCTAGGTAGAATCATATGGATTGGGAATAAAAATACACTTCTTTCTTCATATTTCAAATGTAAATTTTCCCCCTATCTGGATTCATGCAGTTTTGTAGGTAAAATACATGTATGTTATTTGTATGTTTTGATAAGATGTCAATGGCTGAGTGATAAATATTGTTGACTTCAAACCACTTGTGTCCCTGACCCCTGTAAGTTTGAATCCCACCAGGGACTTTTGATTCTTTTATGTGAGGAAGCTATCCAGCTAGCTTATAGAACACCAGTGGTTTTACTCAAGTGCCCACTTATGCCTGATACAGGCAGGGACACCTGGAGGCCTTCCTCCATCAGTAAAGCTGGTATGTTGCCATATGACCTGTTCTGTATTGTTGTGACGTAAAACCCAACCAAAAAATATTTTGCTTATGATAAAAGTTTCATCTTATTTTACATTTACCCTTGCTTTGTTGTTTAGGAGAATGTCTACCAAGTCAACTTTACCCGCAAACACAGCCATATGAAGGGCAGTATTTCTGCAATAAAATATACACATATTTCAGTATAACTTGTATTTATATAAATCATTTATAACCAGAGATAGTAAGTATTGCCCAGGTTATCCCACAGCCTGTATGGACAAGTGTAAATTTTCAAGAATTTACTATATAAATATCATGCGGACAAAGAATAGCTTCAGATAATGGACAAGTAAGTCAAAATCAGATTTTGCCAGCCCTGCATGTATATCTATGATAAATGTCTGTTTTGAGTTGATATGAATTATATCTCACTGAGAAATGAGCATGACCTTCAGTACTTAAAACTTGGGATTATAAAATACTTTACAATGAAAGTTTAGTTTAATGTTAAATATTCATTTTCAAAATAATCAAAATCTGTGTGCATAATTGAGGATAAATTTCACCTATCAAGTGTGGCAAAACTAAGTCCTTGACACAGAAAATGAAAACATAGAAACTGGCTTCATTCCAGAACATTCTATCAGGAAATCACTCCAAATGCTGCCCATGTGGAAATATAAATTTTGTTATTTCAAAAACAGCTTTATTTATCTTCAAAAGTATCTAATTTTGAAGATAACCTAAAACAAACCTGTATTTATTTTTCATTCATACAGGGTACAACTTATTATTTTAAACTCATTTGAACTTGGTATAGCTAGATATCTATACAATTTATACTTTTTTATGTAAAAAGGTGTGTTATGAACAGCTTAGGTTGCTTGAAAATAGGTGATGTTCACAATACGCAAATTTTGTTTTAATGCATCACTTATCATAAAAGTTTTTTGTCATATGTCCTAATATATCTGTTTTGTACCCTTCTTTCTTGATCACAACAAACTTCTGTGTTTGATCTTTTTAACATATTGAAACATAAGTTTGACCCCTTAATGACTTTGAACTCCAAGGTCAAGTTCAAGGTCAATATTTCAAAGAAGGAAATTTCAAATTTCCATATTTTTTTGTATCCTTTAGAAGATTTAGAATGAGGAATTATATTCTTACTGATACTTTACTAAATGTATGATAAAAATGTATCATTTTTCCTTTAAAGGGACTCCACCAAGGTTTCTTGACATGACAGGACTGGAAATATTTTTCTCGCAATGTGAGTACTACTTAATGTAGATCTATACCATTACTTGTGTGCAAATTTTCAGATTGTTCCCTAACCACATTTTTCCAAAATAATAATTTTTATTGTATAAAATGACCAGAATATACTCAAATTGAGCTCAGAGTTGCAATTTCGCTTTTCAATTAAATTCTGACTAAGTACATGTATATTTCTTTATCATTCTTTGCAGATGTTTCATTTTTAAGTTTTTCACTTAAACTACCTGATCTAAATTATGATCTATGTAAAAATTTCTGACTTCTCAAGTTTTTTGACCTCGGTAGAGCTCCTTTAGTGTCATCTGTTACGATTTTTTACAGCATAAGCATCTTAATGTCATCATCTGATACATGTATATCATATATATCATATAAGTATTTTTCATAAACACTTAAACATTTTAATTTCAACTTCCTTAAATGACAACTTATCTTACTAATTATTCTAGCAAGAAACATGATATTCATGATTAAATCTGTTGACACCTCTTAAACCTTTTTCCTGCTAAATTTAAACTACTGAAATACCCACATTTAAAACTGGAACAGTCCATTTTAATTCTAAGGGGTTTTAGCATCAGAATAATAAATTAACCCTGTTAGAACTAAAACTGAAAGTGATAAGCCCTTGCCATCAGTATTGAGCCAGACTAGCTCTCCATGCAGTCTGACCAGGCTTTATACTGTTGTCTGACACATTTCTAATTTTCATCTTGATATACCCAAAAAATGATAATGGACAGTTCCAAAATTGGAAGCTACACATGTCCATTTAAGAAATTCAGCAGCTTAAGGAGCCAACAGTATAGGTGCTTGACAAAACTACAGACGTGCAGACGATCTAGTTAAATACATGTACTAATGACACTGGCATGCTATAATCATTAATTAGCAATCTAATTAAAGGTTAAGATAAAAACATGCATGATAATGTAGCATGATTTTTATGACAGTTACTTACCCTTTAACATCCTGGCAATTGACATCGGCAGAATGAAACAATAAATCTTCTACAATATCTTTGTTTCCTAAAAAACAACAAGAGGGCCATGATGGCCTTAAGGTCGCTCACCTGTATGTAGGCCCCCGGAGCGGGGCCAGTTTAAACCCCAGAGCTTTTATTTGAACAAACTTGGAAGACAACTATAAGAAGACGTTTCATGATGTACACACTTATAATGAAAAACAATGATCTGCCCTCCCCTACCCCCGGCAGGGCCAATTTTAACCAAGGGCTTTTATTTGAACAAACTTGGTAGACACCCATAAGAAGATGTTTCATGCTAAACATCTAAGCTGTAGCTCATTGTGTTTTTTTAAAGAAGATTTTTTAAAGTTTTTACTATACACATATAGTTAAAAACAATGACACCCCTGGGGCGGGGCCAGTTTTGACCCCAGGGCTTTTATTTGAACAAACTTTGTAGACACTTACTAGAACATGTTTCATGCTTAATATCTAAACTCTAGCTATTTAGGTTTTTTCAAAGAATACTTTTTAAGTTTTTGATATACACATATATAAGGAAAATCAATGACCCCCGGGGCGGGACCAATTTTGACCCCAGGGCTCTTATTTGAACAAACTTGGTAGACACCCATTAGAACATGTTTCATGCTAAATATCTTAGCTCTAGCTCTTTGAGTTCTTTAAAAGAAGATTTTTTAAGTTTTTACTATATACATGTACATATAGGGAAAATCAATGACCCCCTGGGGCGGGGCCAATTTTGACCCCAAGGCTTTTATTTGAACAAACTTGGTAGACACCCATTAGAACATGTTTCATGCTAAATATCTTAGCTCTAGCTCTTTGAGTTCTTTAAAAGAAGATTTTTTAAGTTTTTACTATATACATATAGGGAAAATCAATGACCCCCTGGGGCGGGGCCAATTTTGACCCCAAGGCTTTTATTTGAACAAACTTGGTAGACACCCATTAGAACATGTTTCATGCTAAATATCTTAGCTCTAGCTCTTTGAGTTCTTTAAAAGAAGATTTTTTAAGTTTTTACTATATACATATAGGGAAAATCAATGACCCCCTGGGGCGGGGCCAATTTTGACCCCAGGGCTTTTATTTGAACAAACTTGGTAGACACCCATTAGAACATGTTTCATGCTAAATATCTTAGCTCTAGCTCTTTTGGTTCTTTAAAAGAAGATTTTTTAAGTTTTTACTATATACATATAGGGAAAATCAATGACCCCCTGGGGCGGGGCAATTTTGACCCCAGGGCTTTTATTTGAACAAACTTGGTAGACAACCATTAGAACATGTTTCATGCTAAATATCTTAGCTCTAGCTCTTTTGGTTCTTTAAAAGAAGATTTTTTAAGTTTTTACTATATACATATAGGGAAAATCAATGACCCCCTGGGGCGGGGCAATTTTGACCCCAGGGCTTTTATTTGAACAAACTTGGTAGACAACCATTAGAATATGTTTCATGCTAAATATCTTAGCTCTAGCTCCATGAGTTCTTTCAAAGAAGATTTTTAAATTTTTACTATATGCATACAGGGAAAATCAATGACCCCCTGGGGCGAGGCCAATTTTGACCCCAGGGCTTTTATTTGAACAAACTTGGTAGACACTCATTAGAAGATGTTTCATGCTAAATATCTTAGCTCTAGCTCTTTGGGTTCTTTAAAAAAAGATTTTTTAAGTTTTTACTATATGCATATAGGGAAAATCAATGACACCCTGGGGCGGGGCCAATTTTGACCCCAGGGCTTTTATTTGAACAATCTTGGTAGACACTCACTAGAAGATGTTTCATGCCAAATATCTAAGCTCTAGCTCTTAGAGTTCTTTAAAAGGAGATTTTTTAAGTTTTTACTATATGCATATAGGGAAAATCAATGACCCCCTGGGGCGGGGCCAATTTTGACCCCAGGGCTTTTATTTGAACAAACTTGGTAGACACTCATTAGAAGATGTTTCATGCTAAATATCTTAGCTCTAGCTCTTTGGGTTCTTCAAAAGAAGATTTTTTAAGTTTTTACTATATGCATATAGGGAAAATCAATGACCCCCTGGGGCGGGGCCAATTTTGACCCCAGGGCTTTTATTTGAACAATCTTGGTAGACACTCACTAGAAGTTGTTTCATGCCAAATATCTAAGCTCTAGCTCTTTCGGTTTTTTAAAAGAAGATATTTAAAGTTTTTCCTTTTGGTTGCCATGGCAACCAGAGTTCTGCATGGAATTAAATTCTTTGAACAATTTTTAAAGGTGACCACCAAAGGAACATTCCTGTGAAGATTGGATGAAATTGGCTGAGTGGTTTATGAGGAGATGTCATTTAAAGTAAAAGTTTACCGACGGACGACGGACGGACGCCGGACGACGGACGGACGCCGGACGAAAAGCGATCACAAAAGCTCACCCTGTCACTTTGTGACAGGTGAGCTAACAAGAGCTGTCGGTAGGACAGCACGCTAGACTATTCTAATTGCTTGATAGTAAAAGAGCCTTGATAATGTTAAATTTTTTAAGTTCACAAAAGGGCTAATTTTTTTTTATAAATTCATGTTATAGGTCTTAGAGAGAGTCTAATTATACAGTATTGGCTTGACTATTTGGAAGGTAATGTCACAAGGGTGCTTTATTGAGTATAATGATACTAATTACCTATGAATACATAAAATTGACAGAAAAGGTACAAAGGCTTGTTATTAAGATGTTTTATCAAGTAAATCACTGCTTTATTATTACGAATGCATAAAATTGTCCCAAAAAAGGCACAAACCCTTCAGTAGTTATGGAGATAACAGCTTACAAGCAAAACTTTACCATGAATTTTTTAAGTTGAAAAAAGGAAGAAAAATCAGCCTAAATGCAAGATAGAATTATGGATCTTTGTCAGTGACCTACAATTCTGACCCTAAATGCATATGTGAAGTTTTAAATAAGTATCTTTAATAGTTATTGAGATATGTAAAACTTGCATGTAAACATTAAGACTAAGTAGAAAAGGGGATATGAATCAGCCTTAATGCAAGATAGAGTTATGGAACTTGGTCAGTGACATACAATTATGACCCTCAAATTATAACCCTAAGTACATGTGTAAAGTTTCAAGTAAATATCTTTGAAGACCTTTAACCAAAATCTCTAAGTTTCAAAGGGGCAAATAATAATTAATTCTGCAAATATTGCAGACAGAGATATGCAATTTAGCAAAATGATGTACATTGTTACTATAAAAAAGAATTGTAAATTTCAAATGAATATCTCAAGCAATAATTGAGATATTTGACTTTACAAAAAAACTTTAACCAAAATTTCTAAGTTTCAAAGGGGCATAATTCTGTCAATATTGTAGGCAGAGTTATCCAACTTGTCAATCTGATGTACCTTGTTCCTATAAATAAGTATTGTAAGTTTCAATTGAATATCTCAAGCAATAATTGAGATATTTGTCTTTACAAAAACTTTAACCAAAATTTCTAAGTTAAAAAGGGGCATAATTCTGTCAATATTGTAGGCAGAGTTATCCAACTTGTCAATCTGATGTACATGTACCTTATTACTATTAATAAGTATTTTAAGTTTCAATTGAATATCTCAAACAATAATTGAGATATTTGTCTTTATAAAAAACTTTAACCAAAATTTCTAAGTTAAAAAGGGGCATAATTCTGGCAATATTGTAGATAGAGTTATCCAACTTGTCAATCTGATGTACCTTGTTACTATAAATAAGTATTGTAAGTTTCAATTGAATATCTCAAGCAATAATTGAGATATTTGACTTTACAAAAAACTTTAACCAACGCAGACGCCGACGCGGACGCTGACGCCGACGCCGGGGCGACTACAATAGCTCTCATATTCTTCGAATAGTCGAGCTAAAAACAACAATAAAGTAATAATTCTTTGGAGATATTCAATTTTTGCATGATTATATATATTTAACAACCTGACCATCTAATAAGATAACCAGGCCTATTCTCTAGGATACACTTGAAATAGAGAAACTGTTTCACAAAATACCTTAATTGGCAATTAGTAAAAAAAAAGGAAATTCAAATTATCAAAAAGATAAAAAGAATAAATATAAACCAAAACATTTGACAGAAGGGCAAACATATTCAAACTGATTAAATCCCATAATAAACAAAGTGCTAGGCCTATAAAATGACTTCTGTGGGATTCATTGAAAGTGAGAAAAGAATTTCTTCTAGTTCTGTTTGCTTCCTTGTGGAGGGTGTGGAGAAAGTAGGAAAATATGGAAACTCTAGTTATTCTGGTGACCCCAGATGACCTTTCAAACACAACTGAAATTCCCCCACAACAAAAAATTGCTGACTCTTTTAACCGTTAACCTGTTTAAATTAACAGTAATTACCCTTTGTCACCAGTATATAGCCAGGCCAGCCTGTATATGCAGTGTAACAAGACTTTATACTGTTGACTGACCAACTTTAGATTTTCACCTTGATATAATGGACACTTCAAAAATATATGCTGGAAAGGTCATTTTAATGAATTCAGCAGGTCAGTCTAATTAATTTCAGTAGGACAATCAAATAAATTCAGCTGGTCAATTTAATGAATTCAGCGGGTCAGTGTAATAAATTCAGCAGGTAAATCTCATAAATTCAGCATGTCCTTTTCATTAATTTTAATAAATTCAGCAGCTCAATCTAATAAATTCAACATGTCAATCTCTACATGTAGAAAATTAAGCTGGTATTTAATTCAATAAATTCAGCAGGTCAATTTAATAAAGTCAGCAGGTAAATCTAATAATTCAGCAGGTCATTTGAAGCAATTTAAATTAATTCAGCAAGTCAATTTTATAAATTTAGCAGGTAAATATAATAATTCAGCAGGTTATTTTAATTAATTCAGCAGATCAATTTAATAAATTCAGGTCAACCTCATAAATTCAGCAGGTCATTTTGATCAATTTTAATTAATTCAGCATGTCAATCTAATTAATATAGCAGGTAAATCTTCATGTAGTAAATTGACTAAATTCAGCTGGTAAATTGACTAAATTCAGCGGGTAAATTGACTAAATTCAGCTGGTAAATTGACTAAATTCAGCTGGTAAATTGACTAAATTCAGCTGGTAAATTGACTAAATTCAGCTGGTAAATTGACTAAATTCAGCTGATAAATTGACTAAATTCAGCAGGTCAATTCAATAAATTCAGCAGGTAAATTTAATAATTCTGCAGGTCAATTTAATAAATTCAGCAGGTCAATCTAATTAAGTCAGCAGGTCAATCTACATATAGTAAATTCAGCTGGTAAATTGAATAAATTCAGCAGGTCAATTTAATAAATTCAGCAGGTAATTCTTTTAGTAATACAACAGCAGGTCATTTTAATTAATTTCAATTAATTCAGCATATCAATCTAATAAATTCAGCAGGTCAGTCTCATAAATTCAGCAGGTCTATGTAAAAAATTCAGCAGGTCAATTCAATCAATTCAGCAGGTAAAAGTTTAATTTATTCCCACTATAATCTGATAACACTTCATTAAATGACATGTTCAAAGTGACTAAAAGAAAATCTTTAACTATTGAAAACTTCCTTATTCAAGAAAACAAATACAATCACTGACAGAAATTCCAGTGTGATTAATAGAGCAACTTATATTAAGGAAACTATAAACTCGGATTTAATGTGAAAGCTTTCATTCACTGAGTCATATTCTAATCCATTCATGTAGTACTTTTATTTTATTTTCTAAACAACTGACTTTTTTCTCTAGGGATACTTTTTGATAGCATGCAAAAAAAAGCAAACAAATATTAAGCCACAATCTGCGTCAGAAGCAATTCATTTTCAAGATAAGGCATGGATTTTTAGAAAAGTAATGACATTATGCACCTAAATTAGTCTGTCAAATATCTTTCTTTGAAAATTTATAACATGTCCCGATTCTATGTTTGCAATATAATACTGAGAAGTATTGTCACAAGTTTCACACTAATATTAAATAAAGATCTAACTTTTTATAATCAGATATACATTTTGGACAAATCACTACTAACAATGTCTTTAATATGAACATAATTATAAGGGCTAAAATCCAAGGCTTCTTTACCGAGACTTACATCATTATATCAATGCTCGATAAGTAAAAAGGAATTTCAAATAATCAATCTGAGCACATTACATCTATAAGATATTATTTTCTTTGATTGGGTTTTACATCTAACCAACAAAACTTTTCAGCTTTACTGGTGGAGGAAGACCTCAGATGCCCTACCATGCATTATTTCAGGCACGAACAGACACCTGAATTGAACCATCAATGTTCTATAAGCTAGTTTGATAGCTTCCTCACAATGAAAGATTCCAAAGTCCCTTGTGGGATTCTTACCCACATTTGTGAGAAGCAAGTGATTTGAAGTCAAAGACTTTAACCACTTGACCATGGATGCCCCCTTTTAAGATATTGAGAATGGTAAGGTAAAAGCATACCATTAAGAACAGCTATAATTAGAGGTGTATAGCCAGTACTCTCCTCGTGACAGTCTATGTTTACATGAGCTAGTTTGAGGCGTATTCTTCCTCCAGGTGTTGATTGATCTTCTACAATGCCTAGCTTCTTTGATGAATTACGACCTTTCTCAGGAGATAGATATTTCTGAAACAGTCAAATTATGCTTAAAATTAAACCTGTAACAGATTTCTTAAAAGTTAAATAAGATTTCTCTTTTACTTTTATTCTAATGTAAACTGATACCTTGACAATAAATATAAAGGGCTTTGACAGTCAGCATGTGGAACAGCTATTTATAAAGAACAATTGTGCATTTCATACATGTACTTGATGTAGGGAAAAACTATTTTTTGTTCATTGTTTAGATATATTACGTTATGTAGGTAACTAAATTATGCTTTACCTTCAAAGAGACATAGATATAATTTTGGGCTGGTGATGTCTTTTTCCAACAGTTCGATAGTATGAAAAATAGTCTGTAAAATGGGTCAAACCTTTCATGCTGTATTGATTAGGCTACTTGGGTCCAAGCTCAAACTGGTTCTGGCTTCCATAACTTAAATTGCCACTTTTATGATTTTCAACATTGTACAAATAGGTCTAGCAATTAGGGCTGTCATTGAATATTGCCATATTGATATATCATAGCAATACAAGTTAAAATTTATTTATTTCTGTTACTGAATATACCTCTCTATTTGCCTAATAAGAGAAAATGCTTTTTCCAGTTTTCTTGGCTAACTTGAACGACAAAAATAACAGAAAAAACAAACTTTCTGCAAGTTTGAAGTACATATTTGTAATGTCTAATACCAGCATGCATAACACCATGATCCCAATTAATACAGGGAAGTAAAAACCCGGGCCCGCAAAGCGGGCCTGGCCTTTGACTTACCCGGCTTTAAACTTCATGTGTTTATTTAAAAGAAAATGAAAAAAAAAAACAATTAAAAAATATATAGAATTCTATACCTATCAATGAAATTTTCAGTGTCAGTTCTAGTTGGCTGCCGCCATTTACAATGTAACTCAATGATAATAGGTGGGGTATTCCGATAACGGAACAAATCTCAACTTATTGATTCATAATAATCGTCGAGTGTTCCAAGTGAAAACGGAAGTGGTGCATGAAATGATGAATGACACCTTTAGAACAGAAAAATGAAAGAAACTTTTTTAACAACTGCCCCGTTCATAGGCTTTACCTAATTTCATATTAACACATATTTATATGTTTTTCATTGTACATCTACTGCCAAAGTCGATGTTTCGATATATCACCGATATTTGTCTCCAGTAGCAATACTATTAAAACTGTTTCATGAAGTCTTTTCAGCTAAGCTTAAAATTCAAAACTTCAAGTTTTTACCTGTAGTCCACACCTGTAAAGTTTTGATGTGTTCAGTACAGTTTACAATGAATAAGAAGCAAAACTAACGATGAAAAAAGTTTTATGAATGATATCTATTACTTTTAAATGTAAAAACATATACGAAAATAAAACATGACGGGCCAGGCCCCACCTGTAAAAAAGCATAATTAATTTGACAGCTCACGAAATTAAATGACTCACCAAAAATTTAGTTCTGTTATTATCTTTCACGGTTTTCAGCAAATCTGATTCTTTCACGGGCCCCATTTTAAACCATTAACATGGCAAATAAGCAGTTAAATCTTTGTAAGCACTTTTAAACATGTAAATTTATCACTTATTGTCAGTCACGAAAAAGGTAAAAACACTTCCTGTTTACATTTAAACGGTGCTCATAATAATTTTGCATCGTGAACATTAAAAAGTCACTTGATGGACTGAAGACTGAGGAAAACAAATCTAACCTAAACGCATTTTTTGACAAAATTTATGGATGGACAAGTCTTTATTCCCCGAATATTAATGTAGATAAATAAGGAACTTTATTTGCATTTATATATATTAACATTATATTCATTATATCTCAAGATGTCAGGACAAACGTTTCATTTCAGTAAGGAAACGCCTCCCGATTCCATGTTCAGTGACATTCAGACCCTGAATAAGTTTCAGGATGAGGTAATATATTAATATATACCATCTTTTACTGGTTTAGATCCAAAACTTTACAGTCAAACCTGTGCTAAATGCCGTCCCTTATACTTATAAAAAACACCTTAAATTGAGGTTTAGATATCCAGCTTTTATAAACAGGTTTCACTGTATTTAGTGTGTTTTAATCATGTTAATAGGCTTTTAATTATTTTCAGAAATTCAATTCTGTGCTTCAAAAGTATCTACCCTTTGAATTTTGTCTTGTGGAAATTGTGGCATGTCTCATAAAGTGGGTTGGTTTGTAATGGACTTAGTTTCCACGCCTGCAGGACAGGGCGGACCGTGAGACTAGGCGGACCATATATTGGGACAGGGCGGACAGTCACTCGAGACGAGGCGGACCGTAATTTAAAAAAGTATTTATATGTGGACTAATGTAATAAAAGTATTAAATTATTGATGTTTTTGTTCTTCGTTTTAATATTTCAATGCATATATAAAAGTAAAAATATAAAATAAATTTTAAAAGTTCATGTGTAATTGAATATTAATTTGCTGAATGGACGATGTCACTCGAGACGTAAGTATTTAATTGTGGATGATTTTGGTATTCTTTATAATATTTCAATCTAAACCTTTCTATGTAACATATGAAACATATATATACTGAACCAAAAAAGGAAACTTTCGCAAAGTATCATGGCCAGTTGTCAAGGGTACCACATAGATGTACACACTTGTATATATGTAGTAGCTCGTAAAACTCGTTTTGTTTGCAAAATCGGTCAGCTAATCCCCGTATAAAAGCCCGAAATGTTTATTCAACGTAAAAATCGAGTTTCAAAAGGATTGAAAAACTGTACTAACATATCTACATTCAAACTTGGAGAAAGTTTTTTTTTTGTTTCAGTATATTAGAGTAGTTTAAAAAAAAGTTCTCAAGAAATTATTTGTAACTGCGTCGACTTACGCAAGTGATAATTGACCAATTATCGGGATATATGTTATTGTTTGTATAAGGCGCTAACGCTGCTCAAATTGATAAACTTTATTAAACAATTAGACACATAAAAAAAACATATTTTGTTGTGCAATACACGAAATAACAATGATAACGAATAACATCACATTAAAATTATTTGCAATTCAACACAATAACAAAAAAATGAAGTGACATATTTGAAAAACAAAACTATCTTATTAAAATTTACATAATAAGCACAGACATATGAATTAAAATGAACACTGAAATAGAATTTATTAAACAATAAGACACATCAAAGAACTTTTAAAACTAACTGTATTTTATATTTTTAATTGAATATTTGAATTGAAATATCAATACGAAGAACAAAAACATCAATAATTACATTAGTCAACATATAAATACTTTTTAAATCACAGTCCGCCTCGTCTCGAGTGACGGTCCGCCCTGTCCAAAAATACGGTCCGCCTAGTCTCGAGTCACGGTCCGCCCTGGTACGGTCCGCCCTGTCTCACGGTCCGCCCTGTCCGTAATTCGTTTCCACAAGTGTTTCAAATATTAAAAAAACAACAATACAAATGTATCATTTGAAAATTGCTTGAAAAAAATGTTGCTAAGATTAAAAGTGATTTAGTATGAACATTTATATGAATAATAATATTTTTTTTAAAACAGTTTATTATCTGCTATATAAATATAAATTTATATATGTCATATCGGATCATGTATATCACAATTCCCAACGATATCCATATAGAATACAATGCTTTCATGGTTTGTTTTTTGTCTGATACTAAGTACTTTCAACATGATTATCTATTATATTATCCTTTATAGATAAATTCAAATTAAGAAGAGGAAAATATTTTTCAGGGTATAGTCATCAAGGGGTTAAGATCCATTTTGTTTTCAACACCAATAAAGCAAGAATTTTTTTAAGTTGGTCATTAAAAAGGATGATGGAATTAATTAGTTAAATTATACATGTATATGACTACACATTGTAGAGTTTTGAATGCTAAGTAGAAATTAAATTAAATACAGCAGGGGCACCTAAATACACCAGGGACAATTAAATACAGCACACGCATTTGTAAATAGCAGGCACACTTAAATACAGCAGGCAACCTTAAATACAGCAGGCACACTTAAATACAGCAGGGGCACTTATATACAGCAGGGGCACTTAAATACAGCAAGGGCACTTGAATACAGCAGGCACACTTAAATACAAAAGGGCCACTTAAATACAGCAGGGGCCCTTAAATGCAGCAGGGGTACTTAAATGCAGCATGGGCACTTAAATACAGCAGGCGCTCTTAAATACAGTAGACACACTTAAATACAGCAGGGGCACTTAAATACAGCAGGGGCACTTATATACAGCAGGGGCACTTTAATACAGCAGGGGCACTTATATACAGCAGGGGCACTTATATACAGCAGGGGCACTTAAAAACAGCAGAGATACTTAAATAAAGCAGGTGCTCTTAAAACAATAGGCACACTGAAATACAGCAGGGGCACTTATATAGAACAGGGTCACTTTTATACAGCAGGGGCACTTAAATACAGCAGGACACCCTTAAATACAGCAGGTGCACTTAAATACAGCAGACACACTTAAATACAGCAGGGGCACTTGATATAGCAACAGATATACAGCAGACAATACAGCAGAAGCACTTAAAAACAGCAGGGGCAATTAAATACAGCAGGCACCCTTAAATACAGCAGGGGTACTTAAAAACAGCAGGGGCACTTAAATACAGCAGGTGAACTTAAGTACTGCAGAGGCATTTAAACACAGCAAGGGCACTTAAATACAGCAGATGCACTTAAATACAGCAGGCACCCTTAAATACAGCAGGGATACTTAAATACAGCAGGTGAACTTAAGTACTGCAGGGGCATTTAAATACAGCAAGGGCACTTGAATACAGCAGGCACACTTAAATACAAAAGGGCCACTTAAGTACAGCAGGGGCCCTTAAATGCAGCAGGGGTACTTAAATGCAGCATGGGCACTTAAATACAGCAGGCACCCATTATACAGCAGGGATACTTAAATACAACAGGCGCTCTTAAATACAGCAGGGGCATTTAAAATGGAATTTTTTTAAAAAGATGTGTAAGATGTAAACCTAAAATTGAATACGAAAATCAATATTTAGTGAAATTGAGTTTGATTTGATTTGAAGCTCCAGATGAGTCCAAATATTTCAAGATAATCAAACTTGAGAAAAATGTACTAACATTTTGAGAAAAGTTCAAAGATTCTAGTAATTACTAATAATTTACATGTTACACATGATTAAAAACTAATTTCCTCAGTGGTAAAAAACATCACAACATAATAAGACAAACAATAACATAGTGATATTATCTAAATAATGTCTAAAAAAGCATTACAATTTTACATTATTAACAATTAAACATTGTTAACAAAATGTTTTAGAAACTCTATCTGACATGAGTTTTTTTTTTCTTACAGCAATTCAGGCAGCTAACCCAGTTCGTATTTGAATTCTTGACAGACCCAACAAAGGTAAGGCTGTTTGTTTTGATAGTTGTTTACACATTATTTTAATATATTTAAAGTATTATATTTCATTCATTTCAGTACAGATAAAATTCTGTTTTAAAGCTATACCACATATTTGTTGCAACCTATGACAGGAATATAACTGTAGATACATGTACTTGTCATATTTGGATACTGTTTCATGTCATAAAATTGAAAATTACTGGTAGCTCTCTGTTTCCTTAAGAGTTTAGGATAGTAAAAGTGTGAAAATTAAAAAAAATGGCATTGATTGAGTCTTCATTTATTACTATATTGACTGTGTGTGATTGACTTGCTATATTTTGATTTTAAAACTACAGTGCAACCTTCACAGGGAGGCCCTCTGTAGTGCAATTACCTTTCATAACAGCAGAATCAGATCTTCCCAAACTAAACTTTATCACTGAATTTAACCTCTCTAGAGCAATAGCTTTCAGCAACAACTGAAATGTCTGTCTCCCAAAGGGTATTGCACTGCAGAGGTTTTACTATAATTATGTTCATCATCATTATTTAAATGATTTAACCCATTACTTCATGAGCATTTTGTGAAAAATGGCTGTTTTCATTGAAAAGTCTCCCGTTACAAGTTCAAATTGCTATAATACTATAAAAACTGCTTCAACACTAATCAAACTTGGCACAAATGTTCACTGGACCATTGCCCTTGCAACAACATGCTCAGGCTTAAATTTTCTGTTACCATGGCAACGAGGGGACATCTCAAAATTGCCAAAAATCACTATTTTGCGTTGATTTTTTCCATCAAAATTGATTTCAAAGTGCTGCAACTTCACAATGGATTGAGATAGAGTCAAATGCTTTTCAGCCTCGGTTACACGTTACCTTATGATCAATCTGGGGTCATTTACAGCATCTCACAAGTCCAAAATTTTCTTGGCGATGAGGGGGACTCCGCCCCCCTTCTGGCAACCCCCTGATGTAGCTTTTGGTTGGGGGGCTGCGCCGAAAAAGAGGTCACTTTTTTTAACAACATTTCTCAAACAAAAACAAGTGTTTGGGGCTTAAATAAGGCATTTTTCATCATTTGAGACAACAAAAAGGGGGGGGGGTGAAAAAGGCGTTAAAAGGCGTGTATATGAAGTAATGGGTTAAGGTATGACCACCCTCACAGGCACTATATGGAACTGAAAAAGTGACAACATAGGTCAGATATATACCCTAAAGGACACCGGTATGCAAAATTTAAACAAACTCTACAGTACGGAAATGGAGTTATGGCCACTTTTCTGAACATTTATAGCTTGGATGTAAGAAGGGCCCTGTTTCATGTATAACATATACAGCGGGTCATAGTATTGTCTCAGACTGCTGCCCTTAAAAAGCCCCTGCTGTAGTATAAAAGTAGGGAGAATAACCCTGACAAGCCAGTATGATAATAATAGAAAGAATTACTGACTGTAATGTTGCAATTTATTTCAGTCTTCACGTTTGATGTCACAGTTGGATGATTTTGCGGCAGAGAACAATGTCGGAGCAGGTGCCCTTAAAAATGTCTTCAAAAGTATTCTTTCAGTACCTAACAGTAAGTTTATCTCCTTCTTTGTTTTAATTTTAAAACATATTGATATATGTATATCTTTATTTTCCCCCGCCGAAAAATTTCGGCGGAGGATATAGAAATAGTCTCCGTCCGTCCGACCTTCCGTCCGTCCGTCCGCACTCACAGGAGAGTAATTATGTGGCTAGAGGGACAATAGGTTCTCTTTGATGTCATTCATTCCGTAATGCTTTTATGTGGCTATTTTCTTTTGCGTGGCTAAAAGAACAATAGAGAGAACAATAGAGTAGCCACATAATTACTGTCCTGTGAGAACTTCCGTCCTTCCGTCCGACATTTTTGTCTGGAGCATATCTCTAAAAGTATTTGAGTTATCAACTTGAAACTTCATAGGTGGATAGACCTCATTGAGGAGGAGTGCAGTGCACAAGAATGATAACTCTACCTTGCATGATTTTTGAGTTATTGCCCTTTGTTATTTTTCAAAATTGATTTTTGTCCAGAGCATAACTCCAAAAGCCTATGAGATATTAACATGAAACTTCATAGGTGCATAGATCTCACTCAGGAGGTGTGCAGTGCACAAGAATGATAACTCTACCTTTCATAATTTTTGAGTTATTGCCCTTTGTTATTTTTCATACCTAATTTTTCACCTGAGTGGAGCATAACTCAAAAAGTGTTTGAGATATCAACATGAAATGTCATAGGTGGATAGATCTTATTTAGGAGGAATGTTGTGCGCAAGAATGATAACTCTTCCCTATACAATTTTTGAGTTATTGCCCTTTTTTTTTTCATGCTATTTTGTCCAGAGCTTATCTCAAAAAGTATTTGAGGTATCAACTTTAAACTTCAAAGGTGGATGGATCTCATTGAGGGAGAGGTGCAGTGCTTAAGAATGATAACTCTACCCTGCATTATTTTTGAGTTATTGCCCTTTGTTATTTTTTCAAAAATTAATTTTTGTCCAGAGCATAACTCAAAAAGCCTTTGAGATATCAAAATGAGACTTCATAGGTGCATAGATCTCTGACTCAGGAGGTGTGCACTGCACAAGAATGTTAACTCTACCTTTTATAATTTTTGAGTTATTGCCCTTTGTTCTTTTTCATACTTTAATTTTTTCTCAAAAAGTATTTGAGGTATCAACTTGAAACTTCATAGGTGGATAGATTTTACTGAGGAGGGATGCAGCACACAATAATGATAACCTACCCTGCATTATTTTTCAGTAATTGCCCTTTGTTATTTTCAGCCATCAGTATTCGCATAGGTTTCAAATCTGTAATCACTATAGCCATCAGTTTTCATTACCAAAAGACCTCTTAAAATAGAATTATTCCGCTCTACTACATATACATTCTTCCAATGAGCAAACACATTCGGCGGGGGATGGCCATGTTGACATGGCTCTTGTTATTTTATTTACTTTATTGTTGCGTTAGATGGTTAATCTCTGTAGATACTTATTGCCTAATTGTTAAATCCTATTTTTGATTTTTAACACTGGTGACTTGTCAATGTCCCCAGTATAGAGCCAGCCGAGATTGCATCCATGTGTGTAGACAGAAAAGACTCTATTCTCTAGGTTGTCTCACCCATTTTTGGCCAACCCTTAATCATTTGAACTGAAATTGGTTAGCCTTTGCCACCTGTACATAGGCAGGACAGCCCACATTTCTTTTCAGTGTGACCAGGCCATCTACTATTGGCTGACTTCCTAAAAGGGTGGTGGCATGGCGGAGTGGTAAACGCATTGGACTAATAATCTAAGGATCGCTGGCAGTGTGGGTTGAAACCCTGTCAGGGACAAGCTATTGTTTCCATTAGCAAGAAACATTACACACATTGTTTAGTACTGTTTAGTTCCGGTTACAGTTTCAAGAGTGTTTCAGTAAGCTTATAGCTTCCAATACAACTGGAAACGTAAAGAAATTCATATAAAACTGAAACTTATGTGTAATTTTTCATGTTGGATATCCCTAAAATTTGATAAATGGACCAAATCCATAAAAGTCCCATTTATGAATTTCAAGCAAAGTTAAAAGGTTTAAAGAAGAAGGTAAAAACCACTTAAAAAGATTCATCCCTTCTTAAAAGCATTGGAATCTTATGCATACTATTTCAAAATAAAATTTTTGATGTATAATATAGAAAGATTTATCCATATCCTTTACTTTTTCAGGTGCATTAAAGAAAAGTTTAAGCCCATCACAAGTTAAAGAAGATTTAGTTAATTTAGGTAAGAATTCTTCTTTGAGTATTTCTTGTCAATCGTGTTGTTAGTAAAAAATTAGGAAATTTAAAAATAGATATACATTGTATAAAAATGTTAAAAATTGCTTATCTGTCAAGTCATCTACTTTCTTATTGCAATTCAGGGATAGATTGGTTTTCATACACTTTAAAATTGGACATGTTACAGTTGACATGGCCTCAGGAGAACATTAAGGCATTTGAAAGCCTGTTAGTCTTACTGTAATGCTTTCCAATCCCCAAAAAAATCTAAAATCAGCCAATATTATAGCAAATCAGTTAATTCCAGAACATTATTTTTTGAAAAAATCTTGGGTATTAGATTATTTACAATCACTCCTCCTTTATCACTATGTACTGAATTTCGACTATAAATGGCTATAAATTATTTAATACTGAAGATTTTGAAAATTAACATTCTGGAAATTACCCATATTGGCCCATATTAGAATTTTTTGGCGGGAAAGCATTGCAGTAAGACTACCTTAAATGAGCTACTACAATTTGTTTCTTTGAAAATCAATTTTAGCATGATATTTTACACCAATTTTGTTGAGGTTACTAAGTAATATCTTTATTTATTGTATGATATTCTTGTATTTTATTGCTATTTTTACAGGTTTATCAGAGACCAAGGGGGAATATTTTGCTGAGCAGTGGAAGGCAAACCTTGTGGGCTTATCAAGAAGTGCTCTGGGACAGACACTTATGGTGAATCAGCTAGTTGATATGGAGTGGAAATTTGGGGGTAATCTTAAGAAAAAATTATATGAAATATGTAAAGTAAATAAATATGTATTGTAAATGAATATTTAATGTTAATAAATATATATTGTTGCTGAATATGTAAATGAATATACATGTATAATGTTTATGAAAATATAATGTTCATGAATATGTAATGTAAATGAATATATAATGTTAATGAATATATAACATTAATGAATATGAAAATGAATATATAATGTTCATGAATATGTAATGTAAATGAATATATAATGTTCATGAATATGAATATGCAATGTAAATGAATATATAATGGTGATGAATAAAAAATATTCATGAATATATAATGGTAATTAATATATAATGTTCATGAATATGTAATGTTAATGAATATGCAATGTAAATTAAATGTAATGTATATGAGTATTAAATTTGAATGAATATTAAATGGAAATGATTATCATGTTTTTACACTTAACCTGCTTGAACCTCATGTGATAAGCCTTTGCCAACCAGTATAGAGCCAGGCCAGCCTGTACATCCATAGTATTACAGTCTGTCCAGGCAATGTACTGTAGGCTGACTAACATGGTATTTTCATTTTGATATCCCTTAAATTTGTAATGGACGTTTCCAAATATGAAGGCTGGACAAGTCTATGTAAGAAATTCAGCAAGTAAAGCGTGGAGATTCCAGTGCAGGTGTTGTATTTTCATTACATGGTTGATTAAATTTATAACACTATACATATACATGTATTAAACTTTACTGTTTTTCTTGTTTTTGTTTGAACAGTGACGGCTGCCAGTAGTGAGCTTGATAAAGTTGGTAATACATTCCTACAGTTAAAACTGGTCATTAATACAGGAAATGGGGTCACTAATTCATATATGGGTAAGATATGATAGTTTATTTATGTAGATTTAACAAATGTATTGTATGTGTTTTGTTAATCACAACAAGCTATTATATTCAGTTAGATATTAAAAGGTCTGTAGTTCTACAGGGAATTTTGGAATTATGTCTTTATTGTCATTTGGTGCAGCTTGGCCAGGACCCTTGAAAAATTATTCTGAAGCTGTGACAAGTGAGCTAATATGCTGTAAGAGCATATCACATGCTTTGATACCCTATTTTAGAGGGGAAGCAAACAACTACTTATTCCATCTAAAATTCTATATTGGCAATATATAGAGGATATTTGTTTGTTTCAGTGTAAGATCGAAAAATATTTCACCGAGTGAACACCAGATGCAATATTTTCCACAGTGGCGTAGCCCACGAGTGAAAATATAGTAGCTGGGGTTCACGAGTGAAATATTATTTGATCTTACATGTAAACAAACAAATTTTCTGTTTATTTCATGATTTTTAACGATTTTTACACCATTTTACTGATTTTTGCCGCGTAACTCATGCCCTTATCTTCATGACGTCATCAAATAATGACGTTCACAATGTTGAAGCAAAATATAATTCCATGATTATTTTTAGATTTTAGAGTTTTTCAACACAACGTTCGTAAATATTTACGAACTACAGTTATCACGTACATTTGTTATTATGATGACACATTCCGCTGAAAAAAACATTCATTAATGATAAATATCTTATTTTTAGGCCAAATATAGTTCGGCTACTGTGAAATTATATTTGGTAATCATTACTGTGAAATTATCAGAATATAATTAACCGTTATAATTCAGTAATCTACTGCAAAACATGTAATAAAACATGATATTTCATATTGATGTTGATATTTCATCATGATAATTCCAAAGAGCGGAACCTGAGATTTATGTTGCTCATTTAAGGAAGAAAATAATTGTCATATGACAATTTTTGTTGAAAGATACATACAAAATGTATTCAGATTTTGACATGAGAACATGTTCTTTTATGAGATGTGGAATTATTTAGTTGAGAACATGTTGAATCCTGTCAGGGACTTCAGATTCTTTCATGTGAGAAAGCTATGTCGGTGATTCAATTTAACTGCTGTTTGTACCTGAAATAATGCACAGAGGGGCAACTTAGGTCTTCTTCCACCAGAAAATCTTGAAAGTTGCCATATTACCTATACAGTGTTGGTACAATATAAAACCTAACCAAAAAAATCATGAACATGTTTTTATACTTTATATTCTATTGAGATTTAATGAATGTTTTGCATGTTAACTTTTAAAAATCATAATATTGTATTTTCAGAATTGACTTTACCACAGTTCTACTCATTCCTTCATGAGATGGAAAAGGCCAAAGCAAGTTTAGAATATCTTAGTTAGTGTAGCTGGAGAATGTTATCAGAATGTTAGAGACTGTAAAAATTATACCACCGCTGTATTATAAAAGATATAAAATTCTTATTCACAGGGATTTCTGATGTTAGAAAATGTATTTATATCCTAATATGATCTAGAAATTTGGGAACAATTATACTGAATTTTAGGATTGTTCTAAAAAAAGTGTAATAATTATCATGTTTATTTAGATTTTTCTATCCAAATTTTCTGTTTGCTTATAAATTGTATAAATTTTAACCATAAAACAACAAAAAGCCTATGTAACTATTCTAAATTCAAATGATAAAGCCTCTGGTTGTCATAGAAACATATAGGTATGATTTATTTGCAAAGTGAGCACCAGAGAGATATTGACAATAAAGGTAAATTATCTATCTTGAATTAGTGGAATAATGTGCAATGTTTTCTTATGTTTTTATATATGATTAAATATATTTTAATGATAACTTCTGTTTTCTTTTGTTTTGTTTTGTTTTTCATTAAAGGAATTTATTTGTCGAGAAATCTTATGAAACTTAACTTTTGAAGAAGTGAACTCCAAATTTTAACATAGAATATAAATGGCTTACACATGAGCTTTTCTAATTCAGACTGTTAATTTATAATAGCTGTTAGACAACCAAAAATTCCCTGGGAAATTAATGCAGACAAAATTGTCTTTACCATACTTAAAATGTATTATCAATTTGTTGTACTATTGTTTTATGAAACTGAATTCTGATGTCAAATATTATGACTTTTATCATCCATTGATCAGGGCCTTTCAAATAGAAAGACCATGATTCTATTTGACTGTAGAACTGAGTGGTATGTTGACAAAAAGCATGTGTGATAATACTATGATAGTGATGTTAAATGTTAAGAGTATAATTGCCCATTGATTAGGGTTTTTCAAATAGAAAGACCCTGCTTCCATATTCACCTTGGCATTGACATTAAGCATAAACTGATAAAAGTTAGATTCACATTTACATGATGCTTCTTGCCCTTCACCGCTGTGGGTTCGAATCCCGACAGGGACTTTGGATTTTTTCATAGGAGGAAGCTATCCAGACAGCTTATGGAACATCAGTGGTTCTACTCAGGTGCCCGTTTGTGCCTGAAATAATGCACGGAAGGGCATCTGAGGTCTTCCTCTACCAGTAAAGCTGGAAAGTTGCCTTATGACCTATACTGTGTTGGTGTGACGTAAAACCCAATCAAACAAACAAACCAACATGATGCTTCTTGACATGGAATTAGCTACTGAGTGACCTACTTTTGAATCTTTATGTTACAGACCTTCAAAAACTCGAAACTATTTAACAATGTTTCATATATGAGCAAAATAAGGACAGCATTGCCCCTCTTGTCCAATTTTGTTCATGCATTCTAATCACATGCACTTTTCATGCATTTTAATCAAGATTACTTTACTGATTCTGAAAATAAAGCTTTGTATGTCAATTTTCTCAGAAAAAGTTCTTATCATTTGATATAATTATCATCATTTTAAGAGCATAGACCAAGTGGGCGAGGCATATGCCTCTCACTATGAACTATGTAGAGTCAAAACCATATCACTTTGTTTAAATGCACCTGTACTAATTGTTAACAAATTCCAGAAATCAAATTTAAACATTATTATTTTAACTTTTGGAAGGACTTTTTTCAACAATTAAGCATGCATAAATATAGCTGATTGGGTTGTTGTCTTGGTGGGTACCACTTGTAAGCCCCTTAGATGCCTGAAATTAGTATTAGTATAGTACCTGTCCATGAAAAACTATTTGTTGGTACTGGAAAATACTCAGAAAGGCCCTTATAAACTAAACTCATAGATAAATAGATGTTGTAAAACTATTTTGAGACATTTTTAGCCACACACAACTTGTTGACTGCTCATTTGGTGTTACAATACTCGGAAGAAATTATTTTATGTCACGATACAAATGGGGGCTTACCTTGTACACATAATATAACTTAAAATTATGTTTAGATGCTGCTTTAGTTCCTGAGTGCATAATTATAATAAGTTATATTTTTCTGGTGGGACGTTGAAATAGGACTAATATTGGTTAAAATGAGACTGGGCTACAAAAAGATCATTGGAACTTGTGTAATTTGTAATTTGTGCCTGCATTGATGTAATAATATAATATATAACATGAATGAATAGACAGGCTCTTTCCGATAACTCAATAAAAAAAGAAGAAAGAACTGATATAATCCCTGTTTTTCACAAGATAACTGGTCAATATGAAGTTTGAGTATAATATGGAAAAAGGCCTTCTAAAATGCAGCATTACCATTTGTAGAATGTAAATATATAAGTGCCCATGAGACAGTAGGAAAGCCTTAAGATGCACACATGGTTCATAGACTACAAGCTTTCCTATGGTTCACCAAAAAGTTTTTTGAGTACATTTTTAACGAAATAGGTAGCAATTGCACTTCACACAAAAGTAATCTTTTTCATTAGTCCAAATATTTTGACGTAAACCGCAGATATGAAGCTATTTTTTACATTTGTCAAATCCGCTTTAATTCGCATTTTCCAATAAACGTCAAACTGTAAAAAAAGGAAAATGTGATTCTTTCAGTGAAAGACTACCTTTTACATTTACTATATATTATACAATAATTTTAATTCCAATATTTGGGGATAATCAAACCAAAATAAATAAAAAAATTGTAAATAAAAAATAAGTCAAAGAAAGCTGATAGTATTTTATTTTATTTGCTTGTTCGAATGTGCGGCAAATCGATAATAATATTGAGCGAATCATTATGTTACGAATATTAAATGGGGCGAATCGTTATAAAATCCTTTCAAATTATCTCCCTTAAACCCGCTAAAAATAGAGGGCGCTACTCACCAGGAAGTTTCAGAAGTTGGTAAGTTTCACTGTTTATTGTATTGCTATGAAAATGACATTTAAATTGAAGACATTTATCAGGGAAATACATATTTCACCGTAAAAACATATGAATTATCTATGTTGTAAATTGTGTTAAAAGCGAAACAAGGAAGTTTATTTTTCTGGCGCCGATTTCGGACAATTTTAAATTTCGGATAAAAAGCGACAAAATTTAGCATAACGGGCGGAGCATCATTATTCAATCTGATAAATGCTACATTTTGGTATGTATTTGTATTTTAAGAACTTTTGGATTTCCCGGAGACTTTGCATATCTTCACAAGAGACATTTTTGTTTTGGCTTAAAAAACCAGGCAGCGCCTCTGTTATCAGTTGTAATGTCTAATGATCAATTATATTGTATTGATACAATATTCTCATAGAAACAAATTGAACCATATTCATAATCATATATAATTTGATATTTTTTATATTACCTATGGAATCAATGTAAATTAAATAAAAACGTGTATTTTTTTTGGTATTATTTTGTATACACTATAACCATGAAGCAATCTAATTTAAACTCTAATTAAAAAATCAGCTGATAGTTAATGCTATATCATATATGTATGCATTTAGCTGGGTGAAAAACACAAGAAGATATGAACATAAGTTCTAACCCATTACGTCAAATAGACATCTTTTCCAAAAAAACTTTTCAAAGAAAGTAACAACATCATAAATAAAGACTATCGTTTGAATACAGAAAAATTTTCAGACTTTCTTTTTGTGTATTAGTATTCCGGATACGAAAATTTAGTAGATCTATTTCCTGCCTTGAAGGTGTGCATAACAATTATTAACATGATATTTACCTAAAATTGCGTCCATATAAATTATTTTTTATTGTTCGATCTATTGACCTTTAGATACATATACTTTAAATACTATTAATCAAACTTGCAATACCATTATTCGCTGTATATTGAGTAGAAAACAGTACTGTATTTTTCATTTTCAGTCACTTTCACTTGTCGGGCCTCAATGAATTTTTCAAGAGTATCTCCCCTGCAGGACCAGTGACCCTTCAAATTTACTTGCCCTTCATAAAATGTACTTGCCCTGCATTTTGACAGACAAAATTTGTAAGAATCATGTGTTAGACTCAAATTTACTATGAACCAGTCTAGTTTGATCAATTTTTTTCTCCCCTGACCCGAACTAATTCACCCGCAAATGCTAGCAACAAGTGGATTTGTCCAGGCCTGTCTGTGTGTTGTGAAAATGGGAGATTGTTATTAAAGTGGGTTCTGTCTTTGCACACATGCTCAGAATTTGAAATAATGCTTAAAGAGTTTTTCCACAATACCTACTGTGTACAGATAAGTGGACAATACAATGAAAACTTGTTGAATTATCAGAATTTTGTCCTATATTAACATATTGAAATAAATTAATTCCTTCCAACCCATTACTTCAAATAGACGTCTTTTTCAGGCCTTTTCAAAAAACTTTTCCAAGAAAAGTAACAACACCAGAAATAAAGACTGAGAATTGGGAATTTTATGCTTGTTAATTGGGAAAATAACCCATATGTTTTGAAATCCGGGAATGCCTCTGTTTAATTGTAGTAATTATATGAGGATAAAGACATCTTGAAAAATATATTCTAAATATTAATATTTTTCAAACCAAATTTAAAAAAAAATTATGTCCCTTTATCACACCATCAGTTAGGAATTTGTAAGAATAGTGAAATAAACATTGAAATGTATATACATTTTCATGTAGGAAACACTTTTTTCACAATAAGTACATGATGGTTAGGCTTAAAAATACTGGTTCTACTCTTAAAAATACTGGTTCTACTCAGGTGCCCAGGAAAAGTTGCCTTATGACCTAAATTGTGTTGGTGTGACATAAATCCCAACCAAAAAAAAAACAAATAAAAAAACCTGAAAAAAAAAGAAATAATCAGAAGTATTTATTTTTAAGATAAGGTTGAATAAAATATTTATCACCTGTCTGTTGTTTCTTTTACAAGATTGGTTTTCTCAATGAAGGGCCTCATTTCAAGTACTGTTCTATTTTTAGAAGCAAAGGAAATACATGACGTAGAAACATATTGGTTCAATTAATGCAAAAGTATGTTTCTAAAACGAAACAACATATTATTTGATCAATTTGAATCATCATTGAAATTTATTAGAAATGCTTTTGTCCTATAGATGGTTTCCTGACCAGTATAAAATAAATTGCTCATTGCCCCATTTATATTCAGATCAGGTTACTGGTATTTTGGTAAGAAAAAAAGTGAAAACCAAACTTTATAGTGTAAAACTTCCATGTTTCTTTCGTATTATGTTTGCTAGCTACATAAAAAATAATAATCTGTTTAATTTTTGTCCGGTTTTGATGGTCGAATTCCACAAATTTGTTTGTGATAGAAATAAGATTTTTTTTTAAATTTCATAATTTATGATGAATTATAATTCTATTTCATTTCTACAATAGTATAAAGGAAATTAATTATATGTTTTCGCAAAGTAATAGGCTCATAGTTTACAGGTTGGTTGATAAATCTTATATAAATAGGCTTTTAT